TTTTGCAGAGTCGTTTCACCGGTGCCCCAGATCAGCATCATCTCGGTCCACAACTTCCGTCTGGTGTCGGAGACTTCTGAAGGAGGCGGTCAACTGCCGGGCACATGGCCCTACTCCCGGGGCTGAGGCCGTCTCCCCCGACACACCAACACACCGTGGGAGTTGTATACGTATGGGTTCCCACGGCCCTTGCGAACTAGAGAAAACCTCGATATCTTTTACCATCCTTCTTTGCAATAATTGGATATTCGTACACTCCAGATATCCGCTTCATTAACGCCGTTACCCGTTACTGGTACCGTTACTGTACCAGTAACTTTGGCCACGGTACATGGTACGGTCTGCTAATCCCGGGTAGTGGTCAGTGAAGGTATCCACCTGAACCCCTCAGGCTGACAGTAGTTCACGGCTAACCTCCAACACAAACACATGCGTGACTATTTACCTGCCGTCCTCCCTCTTCCTCTATGGTCCCCTCCCACTACACTCCCCACCGTAGCAGCACCCCCTAAAGGTGTCAGCCGTTTATTACTTTTCACTCACTATGAAAGTGATAGAGAATTATTTATCATTGTGACACAGCACACCACTGCACACAGAGAAATGTGACCCCTGCATTTTCCCCATCACCAAAGTGAACAGTGTGTGGAGACGGAGTCAGGTGTTTGTGTTATTTGATGTTATTGGTTTTAAATCATTATAAATGGTGAAGTTAGTTGGTGTTAGTTCGATAAGTTGAAGTGTGATACGTCAAGGTTTTTGTTGGGGCTTGAACATCTACACTTCAAAGTAGGGAATGTCCAAACAAGCTGTGGTTACCACGGCTGTGAGCTGTTGCTGTGTGGTTATGGTTCTTGTGCTTTTCATGTTCCTCGTCTTCGTTTCTGTCTGGCCTTTGGTTTTCACAGTAAGACTGGGTTATCTACTGAGTATTATTCAGAACTGGGAAATAAACTTTCTTGGTCCTGATCATCGTTCTCCTAACTGCTGCATTTAGGTCCAGCCAGCTTCATGAACACCCTCCCCCACCGCCCCTCCTTTACCACCCTTCTCTGTTCTGCACTTTTTTCTTCTCTCTGTTTATATGTCAGCTTGTTAGCCTCTCTCTCCACTCTCTCCTTGTGCCCTTCCTCGCCCCCTTTCTCAGTCTAGCTCAGTGGCATGCATGTTCCCAAAACTCATTTCAGAAGGGTCTCCCACAGTGCAGTGGAGGCTGGCTCATTTGAAGGCAGAGGGCATGCAAGGAGGTTGTCTAATAACATTTCCTACTGCCTGATTAAAACAGGCCATAAATCACTTGGCTCCTGGCTTTGTGCATGTGCCCTCACTCACACACATATACATATGCAGTTTCAAATGGAGCCATCAGTCATAGAGCTTTAATTCACTTAAGAAACTCTACCGTCACTCTGGAGACTTCAGTATTTGGACTTAAGCACACAGTCTCCAAAAGCCATTGGTAATTAAAGGGTTTATGTAAGTTTAAATATTGCAGATACTACATGGTATCCGTGTATTAAAAAATTACTCCATTAGGAAGAATTACAGTGACGCAAAAAAAAACCCAACCATTACAGAAGGTTCTGTGGGATCAGATGGCTATTGAGAAACACTGAGGATATGCTGCAAGGCAGTTTCAATGTTGCAGAAAAATATAATGCTGTGTCTTAAAATATATAATATAAATATATAATATGCTGAGGTCATGTCAGGAATTACTGTATAATAACCACTTTAAGGAAAGAAAGTTTTTTTTCCTCAATTAATCTTTTATATAAATTAGATTGAACATAATTGATCGCACTCTTGAAACAAGACCTTCAAGTCAGATTTGAACCAGCGACCTAAGGATATATATATACAGTATCTATATAAGAACAAGACTTTATAGTGCTGACAGTTGAAACTTCCGGAGATTTCAGACATGTAGACAAAGCATCATCATTTACAGTGGGACGCACAGAAAAGGAATCTCGAATCCTCGTGTCCCTCTCTAGGATCCATCAAGAAGTGTAATAGGTTTCCTGCCAGTGGTGAGAGGTGGGGAGAGACACAGACACTGATCTCACCTCAGGGGGAGGGAGAGTGGAAACATGTCCATCGTCTTAGTCTGCAAATCAAGTTTCCTCCTGAAGTTTGAACTCTGTCTGTCACCACAGATATGTTGTTATTTCTCCTTTGAAGGGAAACGACTGCTTCAGAATTGAAAAACTGTCACAGAGCTCAACCAAGTTCAACCATAAAATCTGTGTTGCCATAATATTGTTCAAAGGGAGAGTTTTTTTTCCTCAGTTCAAACAAGCACTTGAGGACCATTCGTCTTGACAGCCACCTCACCTCACTGTGACAGAGCAGCCGGACGTGATCTGCATCCCAGTTCTCAAAAAGCCTGGCAGAACATCGTAGTTCACAGCATTATTTTTAATTAAGTTGATGGATTTCACATTTACATCCATCACCTCGTGGAGCTCAAGTCATGGTCAAGTCATTTTTCATGGTGGACAAAACACTGGGTCCATTAAACATCTGGTGCACGATCAAGTATCAGCACAATGACTAGCTGTGTAACAATACAGTCAAAGCATCATCATTTACAATATGATTAGCACATGATTTTTTTGTTCATGATACGATTTTATCACAATTTCTTTTAAAAACAAAATGTTTGAACACCTGAACGTCACTTAGGCTACATAAAGACCCAACGTCTTGGTTTAATAGTGGGTCACAACCAACATGTTTAGGCGCATACTGCCACCTACTGTACTAGAGTGTGTAGTGTCATGGTATGACCAGTGACTTCCTGAGATAAAACAGCCTACTCTTTACACCTTGATGCACATTTTTTTAAATTATAACTGATTCGAATTGTCACCGATTTGTTTCAATTTGTAACTGATTCACAATGCATTGTTAGAAAGCGTTCTCTTACTGAACAAAAACCGGCACCAGTACAGCGTCTGTGACATTTGTGGACTTGTCAAGGTACAAAGCGAAAAATAGGTGTGAAAATTAGTTTCACTACAGACTAGTGGCCATCTAAGTTTACTGGAGCTTGTTGAACATGTGACTCATGTATAACAGTCATATCTGTATCGTCATAAACTGATAACCCATGGGGCCCCTGCGACCAAATGGTGCAAAACAAATGTGTTCAGCCCATAGATGGCGCAAGCAGCTCACATTTGGTTAAAAAAACTGATCACTAATTCCAAAGGCCGTGTTATAAATGCACAGTATAAATTGTGTAGTTCTAGTGAATAACGTAGAAATAAAGAGCTTGACAGCAAAGAAAGTACAGAAAAGAGGTCAAATGAAAAGTGGTAGTTGCCCTCATGCCCTCACCATGGTCAGTAACCAGAGTGCTGCAGTAGTTGCCTTTCTGATTCACTGCTTAAATGGGTTCCAGCACTTGTGTAATTTCCATGTCACAGCAAAGACATGCAGCAAATAACTGAAAATAGATTTGAAATGAACTTCATTTTCTACTTCAGCAAGTTTCATATTTTTATTTACGTGGCGTAAAGACTATGCTACGTCTGACAGCAGACACACACACACACTCCCCCAGCCCTCCACATACACACAGAGACGTCATAATAAACTACAATGATTGATGTAGTACAATGATGACTACCATGTCACACCAACTACAGCAGGCCAACACATACAATATTTGCTGTGACACGGTTTCACCAAAAACCGTGCATTATTTTCTTCTCAAGTAGAATTTGGCTTTGACTTTACTGACCCTGCGGTAGAATCACTGAAAACTCTTGGACGTACCATTGAGTCCCAGTTATATTTAAAAGTACTGGCATTTGAGTGATGGAGGGAAATTCCAGTTTAGCCATTTTTTGGATATAAAACTATGGAATATGTTAATACTCAAGAACAACCCACCAAATGTTATTAGTGACTATGTGTCTTTGACAGAATATGTCCACACAGTCATCAGGTGCTAGGGTCACTTATGGTAAAGATAAATAATTAAATAAAGATAAATAATTCATTAAAAGTTAAATAGCTAGATCTTCAGTCCCAGAGGAAGGATTGGACAGATTTGTGAAATTCAGTTGACTTTAAACTACATTGTATGGAAGCGTATCTAATCAGAGTCCCCTGTAGGAACCAGTTCAAGGGTTTAAAATGAGAAAAAAGAAAGTGAAGACCATTATAAGACACTGATGCCACATGAAGGTGTCAAATCTTCACCAGCTGCTCGACCTCCTGTCTATTACTGATAGGAACACAGCTTTGTAAATGTGCTGGCTGAGCTGCAGCCTCCCGTACCTCCATGAATTACAGAAGTGCGTAGACAGCTTAATAGAAGAGTGTTTCTCATAGGTCTCACCTCGTCTCCTGCACCACTAAAATATAAATTTTCTTTTACGAGTAACTTCTGCAAGAGAATGCAATGCAAAATCACCTGCCTGGCACGACTCACACACTATTATGGTTCTCTACCACTGGAATATATCCTTTGAAACTTAGTAAAGACTGAATAATCAGAACTTCCTGAAAAGCCCCCAACCCTGAATGTACTCAAAAAAAGCAGTGTTTCTGATCCATGGTTAAAGGCAACCATTGACTCAATGATTCATTCTAGACACGTTCTGTTATTTCTTACCTGTATGTCTGAGGGCCATTGTCAATCATTTGAAACACACTTGTGGGAGATTGGTTGACACACTGCTGATACTGGGTGGATTTTGCTCAACAGCTAATACACACACTTTGTTCTATTTTTGGTTTAAAGACCAACCAAAAAAGAATCAGCCAAGAGAGGTGAAATCTGTAAAAAAAGAAAAAAGAGTAGATGTATATAGAAATGGATTAATAAACCACTCATTAATAAAAACCAAAATAATACTAAGTCTGCATTTCGTTCAAACTCTTGTTTATGTTAATATCATTGTTCTATTTCCTAAAATAAAAGTCCCGACAACAAATAAAAATGTACAGGTTTCATCAACACAACAGGCAAACAGCTTTTTTGTTTTCATAACAGAAGTCCAGCTGGATCTCTCTGACAAAAGTTTATTTTAAGAATGCCAGTGGCACATGGTTAACAGCACCTGAAGTAACATTTATAAAGTCTTTTTTCTAAACTAAGACAAAACAAGTTGCAAGGAGCGTCAATAAGGTAATGTTCTGTACATGAGGCTAAAATGCTACTTTTATGTCAAGTTACAAACATAAATACATAAATACAAGTGAAGACACTTATAACTATAATTTTATCATGGGAACACCAAAAAAAAAAAAAAAAAAAGATCAGTGAGCAACATTGAGCTGAAGATAATTCGTAGTTGAGATGAAGCTACACTCATCTTCATCCATTCGTGTTCGTTATAATAATACAGCACTGGCAGGACTTGAATATTCCAAGGATGAAAGACTATTGTTGAGATCTGTGACAATATTCCACACTTCTTTGAGACTATGTGGAGAACAGAGGGCCAGTAGAAGCGGCAGTAAATACAGGGCCCGTGTAGAGTCCAGGTCCATCAACAGGAACCTGAAGACATAACAACAAAGGTTCATGAACCAATCAGTGTTCATGTATCAATCCTGCTCTGAAATTCTTCTTCTTCTTCTAGCCTTTAGTCACACTCAGTAAATCTAAGCTGTTTTGGCCAACTTTTAATTGTATTATTATATTTGTCCCTGACCTTAAACTATTTTCCCCGCTTGGATAAATATGTAGCATCTTCCTAATCATTTTCACCCTAATCTACAGCTAATTTTAGGCTCATTCCTTTAGCCATGGCTGGTGTGAATTTATTTTGTGGTTATGTTTAAGTAAAACTGGAACTTCTTTACACCTTCATAGTAGGTTACACTTTCAAAAAGTGACTCTAAAAACAACAAACAATTCTACAGTTTTTTGACATTGAGGTTCAGACAATTAGGCTGAGACTTTTGGCTAACCCTCGGACCAGTGTTCTATCAAACTGTCGTGTACATCGACACATGACAGCTCACGTTTTCACTTCAAATTTTTAAAAAATCAGGTATATTAATCTGATAGGTAGAATTCCACCATCAGAAAAGTATATACTGCGTATTAAACTACAGATATATTAATATCTAAAATGGAGATGACACAGCATGTTTTTTTTTACCTTTTGCGTGTTGCATTTAGGAAACCAATGAACTACTACAAAGAAAACTAAATTGTATTTCTGCATGCAACAAAAACATTTTGTACTCTGAATAAGACTCTGAGTTGAAGGTTACTTTAAAAAAATGTAAATAAAATAAAAAGCCAAAAAGCCTCAATTATCCTCCTGCAGTGAACCCAAAGTCTGCTTCTCTGTGCTTCTTTTATCGTGTGTACTTGAGCGTGCAGTCACTGTCACTCTGAATAAAAATGCACTATTGCACTGACTAATGTAAAAAATATATTTACTAAATATTAGTCAAATAATAAAATGACTTTTATTTTACTTGGTTTTATGTGTTTTTTTCTCCTGAACTTAGTTAGCTGTTACCTCCCTCTTCACACTGGAGTGTTAACTGTCTGTGAGGCTTCTACAGGTTTTGTTTCTAATATTGTTCATGCTGGAGGAAACCTGAATTTGAAGACAAACAGGACGACAAATGCATTCTATTGGGTTGAAAACTTTGATTTCCGATTTAGAAATAGAGTTAAAAACTTAACAAACTAAAGTAAAAATAATTTAAATTAGGCATTCAATTATTTATTCTTTAGTTTCCAAAGCCACAGGGAGGCGCAGCAGAGGGATGAAAGAGCCAACATATATATATTCAATCTTTTCTTTTTTGATGGTTCTTCAATAATCCTCTCCCTGTAAACCAGATAACCCATCTATCTTTCAGATATTTTGTCTTTGACCCAGCAGATTCCTATTGATTGTCTGAATGAAAAAACAACACTTGCCCTACATGGCCAAGGATGCAGTAAAGCCTGCAGGACATCGTCCACTCAGGTTTTGGAAGACTTTGCAAAGACTTGACAGGTGTTGGTTTACCACCTTGGTTTAACTGTCTATTGATGCCGTGTGGTTGTTGTCTGTTGTTTTGTACTAAATGCACCACATTCTGGTCATGCTGTTTGTCCTGAGCATCTGCTCGTCTCATCTCTTCTCCACTCACCTCTCCCAGGGCCTGCAGAGCCACTGTAGCTGCCATTGCCTTGGCATGTTTCTTGTTTGGACTCGGTGTCTGTGGTTGGTAGTCCACACCGTTCAGTGTGACCTGGACACACACACACACAATTTGTTGACTCTTGGTGTCCCACTTTGTGTAGCAATGCAAACAGTGCAGTGAACTAGCCTTTATTATTGAACTACATATTGACAACACACCTTGAAAAGGAAATTCTTGCGATGGTCAGGACCACTGTGGTGAACCATGACAAACTCAGGCTGCATTATCCGCCTCTTGTTGCACAGCTCGATGAGGGCAGACACTGGGTGCTTTCCTGAACACAGATGAGAAGCAGGAAGTCAAAGAGTGAAACAGCAACAAGGATGAACTGAATCAACAATATATCCACCTCCGTGTGTTTACCAATAATTTAAACCCAACATTCCTCTAAGAACATTCTTTTACAAAGAAGTTGTTTATGCACTGCTGTCTTCATCCACGAGTCGAACTGTATTTTATTGTAACAATAGTGTTTACAACCTTTAAAGTGGAGGGAGATTCACACAGAAGTGAATTATGTACAGGAAGTACAATCTGAAAGAGGCAGGAGATTGGACAGGATGGCTGTGTGTGAGGTAAAGGAGATGATCTTAGAAGACTGGGAAAGGACAGCTACGGTGGTGAGGGAAACTGTCAGGACGGTGTTCCTGTAGATGTGACGTCAGTACAGTGGACACATGACAAGGACAGTTGGTGTTAGAATCAAGATGTTCAGGACATCATTCAGAAGAAGAGAGCAGCTCGGAGAAAGTGGGATCGTCAAGGAGCCGAGGCAAGTAGACAGGAATACTGTCAGGCTGGAGGAGAGGCTGGGAGAGCAGCAGCAGAGGGAAAGGTGAGGGATGAAGATGAGAGATATGAAGGGTTGGACAGAAGGACTTGTACTGGTTAGATAAAAACAGGAGGTTCAGTCAGTGCTGGCAGCTATGTCTCTATTTCACAATCCTTTCTTTGTGTCATTTTTTATATTCAATGTTTTACGGTTCGTCTGAGGATGTGTTACCCATTAGATCCTTGGTCACCACCAATCCTCCCGTCTGCTTCTGTGGCTTCTCTCCTTCAGCAACAAGACCTGTAAACAAAGCCTGTCTTATCACCATGCACATGACCCTGAAGGAGCATGTCTGTGGATTGGGAGGTAAAGGAAAACCTTGGCCACGGACCTTTACGATCCACCTTGAAATCTATAATGATTGGCTCCACAGTTCCCTCTCGATTCCGGCCAAGGCCTTCCCCTGTTCTCCAGCCCATCTTCCTCATCAAGAACTCCCCAACACCACCTGATACAGGAGCAGCCCTGAGGAACTGGTCCTAAAAAGACAGAGGAGGAGGAGGAGGGGGAGAGAGAGAGAGAGAGAGAGAGAGAGAGAGAGAGAGAGAGAACATAAAAAATCAGTTAAACCAAAATTATATATGTAAATATATTTATAATTTCTGACTAGTTTATAGTTAAATAATTTTTATAGTTAAAAAGCACAAAAATTGCAATATAGGTAGTTAGCATAAAAAGCAATCAAGCATGACCTAAAGTAAAGCAGACCAAACTAAATGTAAATCTAAATTATAAACACATTTGACAATGTCGTTGATTTAAATGCCTACTTTCTTTAGCCAGGCCTGTGGCCCACTGTTAGAGAGCTCCTCTGAGCTCAGAACCTGAGCTCCTGTAGAACCCGTGAAGAGACCGGGAACAGTGCTGGACTGGGCCCAGGCGTCCAACTGTGACATACAATCAAAGGTTAAACCAGTCAGTCTTCACAGATGTTATCTTTAGAACACACACATATATATACACCACTGTCTGTGTGGTTATGGTATGTTAACCTGTTCTTGAGCCCGGTTGAGCATGCAGATGGCGCTGACATCGTAAGGGTTTTCTGCCAATCGTCTCTGTGCCTTGATTCTCTCCGTTACTGCCTGTGATATATCTACCGGCTGGAGAATTAAAGAGGAAAACAGAGAGAGAGAGAGACCGCAGCAGGGATAACAGGAAGAAAAAAATGAGAGTGGAAAGAGGAAGACTTCAGAAATAATTACTATAGATAGTTAACTATTTCTAACTTACCTGCAACACTGGGTCAGGAAACACACTGTCGCTAACAGGAACCGGCCTCGGTTCCACAACATCAGGGGATTCTTCTGCGGCTGCAGCAGCTGCTGTCTCCCCTGATGAGGATAATGCGGCGGCTAATGCTACGAAAGTGTGTCCTTGGGGCTTTTTAGAACCCCCTGAAGCTTTGTCTGTAGTTTTGTCCACTGGAACCCATTCTCCATAAGCACCCAACGTCTCACCCTCCTAGGGGGAAAAATCTGTATCACTCTTCATACCAAGAAATAACAGCACAGATCAACTGCTGCCTTAATCATTTAATTCAGATGTCCTTCTGCAAATCCTTTAGGATTAGAATTTTAATTCTGATTAACCACAGAGACAAAGACTTATTGAATGAGGCAGCAGCTGCCAGCAGCTCATATATCCTCATTAGGTCAAATCACAAATTTGTATGGACATTACTGCAGTTAAACTTTGGAATACATGTGAACATGACAGATAACAGTACCAAATACAAAAAACTGGTATTTGGAGAATCATTCTTTCAGAACTAAATGAACCTGATCCCATCTATTCTGACCTTTTTCCGATGCTGGGAGCCTGACGACACAGGAAACTCTTTGGCTATGCCTGCATCGCTACGCACACCTGGACGGACTGTAGTGTTCTGGAGGAGAAATTAGAGGACGGTGGTCATTTTCTGGTATGGTATATGGATCAGGGACGAACGTGCAGCCCATTCATAGACTTACACTGATGTTGAAGCTGATAACTTTTTGCTCTCTGAGAGTGGCTACTCCAAATGGTTTCCCATCATCCTCTTCGTCTGACACGTGAGGCATCGCCACTGGAAGTTCTCCTTTACTGTCCACAATCATCTTACACTTCTGCAAAGGCAAACACACTCTCAAAACTGCCACAGAGCAGCAGACACAATAAATGGTTGACAGATGAGGTCAGGAGTGAGCAAACGTTTTGACTCGTGGGCCACAATAGGTTCTAAAATTTGTGAACAGTGAAATACAAATAATACACTTCATCTCTGGAGTGCACCATCTATTGGGGAAACACTGGCATTGCAGAGAAAAGGCTAAATGATAGAAGTCTAATGATAACATAATGTAAGATAACTTCCGGCCCGTATATGACCCACGAGCCATAGTTTGCCCAAACCTGGACTAGGTGATATCTGATGTTTGTTTCTGCTGCCTTAGTTCCTCTTAAGTGTCTGTCTTATGATACTATGAATACAGTGATGAAGCAGCTGAAGAGCTATGTTGCTGAAACAGCTATGTCTATATGGAGCTATTCTAACAAATCCCAAACAGTGTTAGCATGTGTGTAATGAGGTGTGCACGTGACAGTCTGTGTAATCATACAGCACAATCAGATATACAAAGCGTAGCATGAGCATTTACGTCCTGCCTCAGATAACAGTGACTGTCACTTACATCAGTGAACTCCTTGATGCTGATGCTGTTTGCCTGCTTCTCCACTTTCTTCTTCGCCTCGTCCAGAGCAGCCACAGTGGCCTGAGAGGCAGCAGCTGGAGGTTTACTGGTTATGGTGGGCAGTGAAAGCAGTGAAGACAGAGAGCCAATGTTGGATAAGGCAGCAGTCATGGTGGCTGAAGACACAGAGAAATGAAAGAGAAAAATAAATGAAATACAGTCAGTGAACTGGGACAGATTTGGTGTTGGTCGTTGTGGTTCTATAAGGTTCTAACATATTTCTAGCCTGTCCTTACTTGAACATATGGTTGTAAACTGTTTGCTCTCCTGAAAAAAATCCACTGACTGTGTTTTAGGTTGTAGGGAATTGGGTTGCTGGTCTACTGCTGCCTTGCTCAGTAAGTTTGTGCCACTAGAATAAATCTTGTTAAAGAATTTCAAAACGAAAGTTACACAGTAGCACATTTGAATATAAAGTATGGTGGAGGCAGTAGTACACAAACTCCAGTGTACAGTGAGCTCAAACCAATGATGGTTTTTCCTCTTTGGTTTGGGAGAGTGAGTAGTTTACAATCTTAGGTCAAGGTTTTCTTTCAGTAAAATGAACACAGCTAAATGATTTATGAAAATAAAAGAAGAATTTAAATCATACCTGCAGTCATACTGGCCACTGCAGCATTTACAGCCATACTGGGCAGAGCCAGAGGAAGCACCGAGGACCTGAGGCCGGCAGGGATGGGCATGCCTGCTTTGGCACACATGGCAGCAGCATTGGCTTTGGCAATTTCCAAAAGCTGCTCCTTATCTGTAAAAAATAAAAAAAAATAAAATGCAGTATTAGCAAAACTATTTACATATATATATATTTATCACAATTTTTTAAAAACAGTCAAAAAATAACATCCTATTGCTGTTGTCATTAGAATTTAGTGAACTGAACATGTTGTTAGGAGCATAAAAATATCAAAATGCATGGTGTCATTTAATCTTGTCCTTTCTCTGGACATTCAGCGTCGCTCAGCAATGATGTGAGCAAAAAAAGCTGTGATGATGAAACAACAAATTTCCAGTCAGTCATGATTGATTTCCTTTTCTGCAGGAATGTGAGTGGCTTACAAATAAATTTGAAAAGTTGGGTGGGAAACAGTAAATATTATGAAATTAATATTAAAAAACAAATGAACATGAAGCAGTATCAGACCCAGATCAGTGATGCGGTGAGGACTACTGCTGGAGCTGCTGTGCTTCCTCCCAGGGGATCGGTCTTTGCGGAGGATGAGTACCGGTGAGTGACTTGGGTTCCGTTTCCAGCGGTCCCGCTGGTTGTAAGTGGTCCTCCTTCGGCTGCCTAAGGCCGACCAAGAGTGTGAACCCGACCTGCATAGAGAATGTGTTTGTCAGTATATATTTAGATTAGTCCATGTAATACATGTACTGTAATACATGTGGGGTCGCTTGAAATGTCTTTGATAATAAAAAAAAATTACTTAACTAATTCTTTTTCCTTTTTTTTTTGGTAATCTTAAACCACTGAATTCTTTCACATTCATTAATATATAAAAAGTTCACATAGAATGCAGCACAAACCCAATATAATTGTCTGGAGCCACCAGAAATTAGTCATGTCAAAATGAGCCACAACAGGTTGGAACCACTGGTACAGTATAAGCAGTAGATCTTGGTACAAACCAAGAAGTTTGAGTCAGCCACAGTGGTAGGATTACTGTCTGATTCTTATTTGCAAAAACATTTGGTCAATCTCTGCAATATTTAGATTTAATCTGTGCAATGTTTTGGTCAACATCGTTCCAATTTTGTCATTTACTGTGAAGTATATGTGTTTCAGTAAACTCAGTTTAGGATCTGTTAACCTTCACGTCCACACCTGGTGCTGTGTGTTACTTTATACTGATACAGTACTATGTTTCACCTACTCTATCCTACTATAAAAATATTTCCTGTATTTCATTTAGACTTCAGGTTTTATTGCTCTTGCAGTAGCAGCTACAATCCCACTGGGATCAATAAAAAAACATCTTCTGTGCAGTTCGGCTGAAGAAACTCGTAGCCAGAACTGAATCACGGACTTAGAAAGACTCCATTTTATCCACTAGTTACATCTATCGCTTATCTAGGAACACGCATGTAAATGTCAGAGACAACCAGCAGTCTGATTAATCAAACCTAGATCTGGATCTCGTCCTCCTCGAACGGCTGTCAGACCTGGATCCTCTCCTGCAGCTCCTGTGTGGAGACCTGGATGTTTTCCGTCTTTTTGATGTTTTTCCTTCCTCACTTTTATGAGGAGACCTGGACCCTTTCCTCCTCTTCTTCTCAGATGATTTTCTATCTGTGCCTGGGTTGTTCGACTCTCTGCGCTGTGACCTACCGGGCTCAGTGGTACGCTCAGGTTCAGTAGATTTGGACTGATTAAGTCCAGACTTGGATAGAGACCAATCCCGAACTTTAGAAAGAGAAAAAAAAAGAACAAAGCTCTTATTTAAGTTTATACTTTTGCAAAACGTTTCCAAACGGTTTTCAACAACCTAAAAACACCAGGTGTCAAACTGTGACCAAAGACCACTATTTAGTTACTTAGAGAGGATTCTGACCAGAGAAGGCTTGATACAACATTTCCATGTCAGATACTGATGCCGTAACTTCTGCCAATATGGATATCAATCCTATACCTTCGTTTCTCCTCCATCGTGCTGTGGGCTGTTGTTACCTAATTCTAACACATTTATTATTATTGGATTTACTGAGTTTTAGAGAAAAATCTTAATGTTAACCAAATGTAGCAAAATTATAAATAAATCAGCTGAGGACCACCTTATAATGCACCATAAATAATTAAAAATGGACCCAAGCTGCTTTTTAAAAACAGAGCTACCCATGTGACAAAGCATACATAAAAACTTAATTTAGCCAAAGATATTTAGCAGTGGGAAACTAACACTCACAAGCATAGAAATATATTTGGGACACATGTTAGTTAACCCACATATAGTAAAAGTAGCAAACAGGAAGTCAGACAGCTACATTTAATTAAGTGACAATCTAAAAAAAATAAAATGTCTATAAGGCTTCAGAAAACTGGTAGCAGGCTGGCACAGATACATAGTCCTCTCCCCAAAACATTTGCTTAAAAAAAAAAACCAAAAAAACATCCAAAACAACTTTAAGCCTGATATTGCTAAATATTAACCTAAATAGCTCTAAAATGGCAGTAAAGAAATAAGGTTTTATAGGGAAGAAAATCCTGTTCAAGACCCACAGCTGCCGCTAGGTAAAATAAATATGAAATGAAACAGAACGCACCAAATTGTTGCGTTGCATCTTCTTTCTTTTCTGCTGGCTTTTCACTCTGCTCAGGCCTCTGCGGCTCTGCTGACTGTGTTAATTTCTCTGATATGTTCGTCGTCTGTGAGCCACTAAAAACCAGTGAAGGTGGATGCAGGTCTTCTGACGGCTCCTCTGAGGACTCCTGCAAAGTTGTCTTCTTTTCTGCGGATCTAGCAGCAACCAGAGCAAAATAACAAGGTTTGAGGAGGGGACAATGACAACAACGCACACGTTGGCAATTTTCAAACCACTTCTCCCTAATACCTTGACCGAGCTCTGTGTTGGTGCAAACTGGATAAAGAGCGACTCCTGGACCTTCGGTACCGGTGTCTTGACCGTGAACGTGAAGTTCGAGTCACTGTGCAGGAATGTGAACATTTGTTGGAATGTGACCGTGAGTGAGAACAACTCCCGTCACGTTTGCTCTCGTCTCTTCTGACTTGATTGGAGCTATCCTGTAAAATAAGAGGGCAAATTAAAAGGACAAAAAAGTGCAAATACCTCAAAACAGCACTGAAGTGAAGTGAAAGTGAACTCCTTGTCACTGTGACACAGCTCACCACTGCACACCACCAAATGTGACCTCTGCTTTTGACCCATCACCAAAGTGAACAGTGGGCAGCTTTAAGGACCAGGGAGCAGTGTGTGGGGACGGAGCCATGATCAGAGCACCTCAGTGGAAACTGTCGGACTCGAACCTGAAGACTTCCTAACCACCAAGCCACCACTGCCCCTTTTTTATTATTAATGAAGAAGTGTGGAAGCCTGTGTAGGGTGCAAAGACTCACATTGTGAGTATCCCCATTGTGGGTCGAACACTGGCCTAGAAATTGGGATATGTACAGATTTGAAACCCCATGTTTTATGATTAAAATTTACAGGTTAAAAATACTTTTATACGATATATGGAAATCTTATTATGAAACAAGAAAAAATTGGTCAAAAAATACTGGTTACTTGGCTAGCATGCTGCATGGTAGAGGCAGGCATGAATATCTGTTAAGTACAATGGATATTTTGTCACTTTACAGTTTTTGTACAGTTTTCAAAAGCTTCACAGATATTGTAAAAAATTGTAAAGCAAAAACCCACTTGTTTGGGGATGATGTCCGGCAGCTCCAGCTCCTCTCGTGTCCCGGACTTCCTGTCTATCTTTGACAAGTACTCCGAGTCCGAGTCTGACGAGTTGTCATCGTGTTTTCTTCTCCGCTTTTTCTTCTTCTTTTTCTTTCCTGTTGAGTGCCGCTTGTGGGTGTCGGACTTTTTCTTCTTCTCCTCATCTGAAGGATATACGTTTTTGAAAGATTTTTAGGCAAGATGCTTTTATACAAAGTGACTTACAGGAGGAGGAGGATTAACAATCAAGTATGAGAATTGAATCCAGGACTCTGTGCTTCTGATGACTAATAACCACTAGTCATCTTACAACAAGAATAAGCTACAGTGTCAGAAATTGTTATTGTGAAGTTGAAAATGTTTGCCTGCAGTGAATGATATTTTGCAGTAAGCTACTTATATTCAGTTTTTGGTGAGGTAGGCAACACAGTTAGTTTTTCATTTGATTTTAAAGTAGATTTAGTGCAGTTGGCCAGTCATATTCAATACTTTAGCTGCAGAGTGTGTTTAGTACTAAATCAACAGTGTCATGGCCTGATTCACTGAAACACAAAAACGTCTCTGGATTCTTTTAAATGATGATATATGACCAGAATGTGATCAGGGCCAGTGACCACGTCAGTGTGCCACAATCAGCAAATCAGTATTTCTCTCAAGAGGCTGAGGCTTACCATTCGCATTTGACTCCGTTGGCGCTGCTTTCCTATATGACAAAGATAAAACAAAGATCAGAAGAAAGTCCATTTTTAAACATAGTAGGGTGTTTAGAAATGTTTCCACACATGAACTTGTTATAAGAAAAGTATGACAAAAGACATAAGAAGGTAAAATAAAAAGGGGAAAATACATTTATGGAGGTTTACTGTTGACTGGTAGGAGTTTATATTAATCCCTAAAGTAATCCTAAAAATACACAAATCCTAAGACAGTGCCTGTTGAACATTTTACCAAACACCTTTTCCAAATATTTTCCCAGTAACGCTCACTGTTCCACACAGCAGCAGGTCCACATGCTCCAACAATCTTTTAGATTTAGACTCTATGTGAAAAACCAATATGATCTGGTAATTTTTTACCTTGACTGATGTTTGCTTTCCTCCAGTTCTGTCTCAGGCTCTGAACTGTTGCCCTTCTCATGTTCTCTTTTCTTTTTCTTCTTCTTACTTTTGTGTTTTTTGTGCTTCTTTGGTTTCTTCTCCAGAACACAGTCTTTTGTTTCTCCATGTTTCTCTCTAACTGTGGAGGATTTTTCAGTTACCTCTCTGTCCTTCTCCGCAGCATCTACTCCTTCATAGGCACTAAAGTACACAAATCAGGAAAAAAAAAGAGTAAAATATTAGACGTGACGAACAGATGTTAATTTTATTTGCTTAGAAACAGAGTGGAAAGCAGCTTAAATGCAATCAAAGAGAAGTTGTAAAAATGTTTCAAATTAGCCTAAATATAAACAGTCTCCCACAAAACTGGTTACAGGTGTATGAAAAATACCTTATAAATGACATGAAAGCATAAGGTTAGAAAACGATAATATTTAAGAGGTCAAATATATAAAGCAAACAGATAAATATGGGCCTGAAAAATGTAATTAATTTGGGACACCTTTGTTAAAATCATATGCGACACAGCTAAGAAATGCTTTTGTAGAACTAAGGTGGTCAATTTTATATATCTATAGATAGATAGATAGTACTTAGTATTTAGTATTCAGCACTCTCCTTTCCTGGCCTGTAGATGGTGCCAAGTAGGCATGTCTAAAGCATACAGTACTAGTTCAACATTGTTCTACGAAAATGTATTCTAATAATAATTTTACAAAGATGTAAGCCAGGGAACGAGGCTTTGGCCCCCAGTTTAGGACGTGTGTTTACACCCCCGCTTCTTTTCTAGCTTAATAATAATAATAATTTTGGGAGATTTAAATCCTGTGCTTGCTTCCACCTACTAGGTCTATAGTATTACTGGTAAATGTTTAATGATAATAAGTGCATTGTCCTAGTTCTAATGTAAAATGCCACAGAAATTATCAAACACTTCCATTTTAATTTTCGTGATTATTATGGCTGTGGCTCAAACAGACATTTTACTGGGGCTAAAATAGATCGCTATTTGATTAAGTAAACCCGTTAAAGACAACAACAACACATAGATATTTAAACCGACATGCAACCTTACGGTGTCGTCCAGGGGACAGCTTTAAGGCTTTGACTTCAAAGAGGCAGAAAACTTAAACCTACCTGCCATTCAAAATCATTTAATGTCTGTCAAACGGCAGTTTGGGCATGAGATTAACGACCACAGACCCCCGCAACGCGTTTTACACCATCAAATCAAAAACAAAGAAGCAACGTGAGTTTGTTTTGTTTTTATTTTTTGTACGACCTGTAAACACACTGCTAACGTTCACTTGTATGCTAACCAAAGTGACGCCTGTTCCTCTCCAAACACATGCGTTTCTACCAACAAGGAAGCAATTGCAAAAAAAATAAATAAAAATAATAACAATCAACGACTAAATTAAACACAAAACACAACATCTACATACGCATTGTCTCCACCCTGGTCTTCAATCTCTCTGATTTTATTCAATATAAAGTCCTGGAAGATTTGCTCAATGTTGGCCGCCATGTTTTGTTTTTCTGTGCATCACATTATTAGTCCGGCAGAGAGCTGTTTCCTTTTACCCAAAGTTCCAGGACTCCTTCCATCGTCATTTAGTAATTACATTACATTGCTATAGCTCCCAATTGTCAATAACACATGGACAACTTAGGAGTAAATCAGTTGTTAAACATGCAACATATTTGTTCTTTAAACCTTTGCTAACAGTATTTTTACTAGTAAGTAGTGAGAACACAGTAGTTTGTAAAAAACAGTAGCAAACATAGCTCATTATTTTTCCAATCTATCACGTTCAGAGGAATCCAACAAAAGGAGACCACGCAATGCCACGTTTTTTAGTTTTATTAATCACAATTAATTAATGACCAAATAAACATTATTTATTCAGCCAGAAATACTCAAAACCCACAACGATAGCGAGTAGTCACATGATATTGAACAGAAGCTGTCAATTTAACAATGTAAAGCACTGGTTTTAAAGTTTTAGTATGCAAGCTGCTTTTGGCCACCAGATGTCACCAAAAAGCGTTGAATCGAAAAGCTTCGAGTAATGAAGCCTTTAAAACCATTAAACGCCTTACCTTATGCTATATTTGCCTTTAAAATATTACAAATATAAAACGCCAAAACGTTTTATATAAAGAAATAATTTTATTTGAGGGCACTGTTAACCAACATTTAGATTTAAAGGGATCTGTGTGGAAAGTCAGCTTTCTGAAACATGAGTGACTTTGGTAGATTATGGACACAGGAATTTGATTTGTGTTCAGCACCAAGAGAAACAGTTCAACTTGTCCAAATGTTTCGCATAAAATGTACTCTTGAAGTTGATCTTGACCAGTATTAATAGGTCCAGACAATGGATATGAGTAACAATGTTCAAAATTAGTGTTTAATTAACATTTCCTGTCAAAGTTTCTCATTTTCTCCCTAAAAACATGCTGTGAGCATAGGTACCTTAGATAATCAGTGTTTCTATTGTTTGTGGTGCCAAAAACATTGCTTCCTTCCATGGAATCATTTTTTGGACCTTTTAACTAAAACAATTTTAGCTTCAATTTCAAATAAAAAACAAAAACACCATTATCACTTTCCAAAGTGCCTCGAGAATGCGTGTGATTTTATTACAACACACAAGAGTAATTATATGTCCTGTCTTAATGACTTAATAACTTTATTATTATTATTATTATTATTATTATTATTATTTCTTCAGGACAATAGTATATCCTTTTGGTTTCTAGGTGTAAATAGTTTATAAACACCAGTTTTTAGACAGGAACCCAGATTATAGTGATAGTGTAACTTAGGTCTTTTATTCAGAGGCAAGAGTGTTATTTCTTTAGTTAGTTTAGTAAGCAGTGATATATTAGCACAGTGAACACAGTGAACACCCCAAACAACCACAACTCAAAGAAATGTGTTTATTCCATTCAATTCAACAACTTCAGCTCTGTGCACTGATAGCTTCAGTTTGCAGAGGCAGTTCAAGGTGTGACTACATTCATAGTGCAGGGAGGAATGTGATAAAAGGGGGGCAGTGTAGAGCATCTTGAAGTTCAAAGAGCTGAGTTTGACTGCACAGGTGAATAAAATGTATTTTAAAATGTCCATGCATTTATGAGTCCTTTATCGGCTGTTGCATCAAACATGGTTGATTGAATTCATCTTTACCTGTAAGTTCATCCACTAAATCAAACAACTTTAGTCGGTGTAAAGTAAAAGTGACAGAGTTCAGCTCATAATGTCGGAGAATATACGTACACAAAGACAGAGAAAACAGTGGAGAGAAAATCCTTCTTCTTTACCGTGTCTCTAGGTTTCATGTGCAAAAGTGAGTAAGAATAACAATATAAATAGTCTTTTAAATTCTTCCTCTGACAGAAGTGTTAGAATCTTTTCAGCCAACTTTAGAACTGGAAAGAAAACAAACAAGAAGTAGCACAATATTTCACGTTCCTTTCTAATAAAAAAGGTGATAAAATGACATAGTTAATGCATTCACATCAAACGTTTGAGCTGCTGAGACTGAGCCAACTTATATACGTATATGTATATACTGTACACACAAGTACTTCCACCTCTGTTACTGCACATGGCTATTTGTCTCACTTCTAAGTACTGGCCGTCTCTGAATTCCCTGTTTTTTTGTTCGACATGTGGCTGAAGGTGCAAATAAATAAATAAATAATTGTTGCAGATGACTACACTGAAGGTCCTGACACTTGTACATGTTGAGCAGGGACTTTTTGGGCCAAGTCTAAGTCCATTTGTTTGGTTTCACTGTGCAAATGCACAAGTCCAAGTTCCTGTGGTACAAATGAATAAACATTGGGATGTCTTGATCCAACACTCAGGATCAGTATTAGTCCAAGATTAGTCAAACCTTTGGAATCGAACATCAAAAAAAAAAAAAATAGACGTCCGATCCCATCCCTCAGCCCAAATGCTTAACTTTGCGTGACATGCAGTAAACAGGGACATTATTGCCTTAGCAACGGCAGTCCGCAGCGCGATGGAGGAAAAAGACATCCCTAACACTTACATCCCTGGCTGTCTTTCTTCAACATCTGGGCCCATTTGGTGCACCAACACCAAAAGTTCCTCCTTCTTGCAGCAAAAAGTCCATATTTCTGGTACTGTCTTCTTCCTTATACTAGTTAACTACTAGTACTAGTACTCTTGCAGCAAAAAGTCCATATTTCTGGTTTATGTATTCAAGTTGCTACATGAGTAAGTGTCAGCTCATTTTGTCTCCCCTGGTTGATGTAGGTAAAAGCAGCCCCTACAACACAAATAGCATCATATAATATGTTACTGACACAGCACTTATTTTGTCTGATTGATCTCTCCAATATTGGTCAAAGTTTCAGGATCAAACATAAAAAAAAAACAAAAACAAAAAAAAAAAAAAAACGGAAGGCCGTCTGACCCAAATGTTCAACATTGCACAACATGCCATGAATAGGGACACGATGACCTCAGCTGAAGGAGAAAGGAAGGTATTGGATTGATACTTTGAAAACTGTAACAACCACAACCACTGCAGCGCCAAAGTCCATTAAAGGTATCCATGAATTCATTTCAACAAAATAAACAGAGGCTAGTAACAGCATTTAAAAAGTCTCCCAGAAAATGTTTGCTGAATAGTTGTTAGTGGAACATATATACTGTCAACATGGCCAATGTAAACATGCACCAAAGCTTTCACTGTCTTAGATCATGATCTTCCCTACAGCTTCTATCCTGAAATACAGGAGATGTCCATTTACTTACTTCTGACCAATGATCAATGGATGTGCGCAATGATGATGTAATGACAAAATCAAATGTTATTTTCTGAGTCCTGTAACAACTTGTATTTTGGAGTCAAGGCACAACTCAGTGGAATATGTAACTAGAAACCATGCACTGGGCTGAGTTAGCACTGCTCTGGCCCTGTTCTGATTCAAAGCCTTAGTGCTCTCAGTGAAACAGCCTTCTTTTGCACCAGTAATGCAAATTGATCCAAATCAGTTTTTTCGCTGTCAAGGCACAAGCCGGTTCAGACTTTTACTGAGGAAACCAAGAAATCAGATTCTGTACATACCAGTGGGACAGTCTTAAACTGGCACAGACCTAGTTCTGGTTCTAATTTGGTTCAGATCTCTGTTGCCTTCAGTGAACCACCCTGCATCCATCGCAGTCTGTCATGTCCACTCTCCTTTTTCACAGTACTGAGGCAACTTCCAACTTTTTTTCTGTTAAGAAAATCACTGAACACTGCAAGTATAAAAGGTATCTTTGTTCTTTGGCTGAGAACCAATTTCGGACTGAAGACCAAAGGCTAGATAGAGTCCAAAACAGAGTCCAACTGGAACCAAGTCAGAGCCATGCCAGTGTGAAAGGGCCTACAGAAAAATAAATACCAGCATCAAGAGTGTAGTTTGATCACTAGGCCACTAGGGGCGATTGGACTACTCCCAATACATAATGAGTGTTCGTGGGCCACATCAAAGGCATCCTCTGATTGGGTCAGATTCACAGTTTGAACTTTACTGGAGAGTGTGTCTTCAAACAGGTGGCAGTGTGAGTTGTTAAGCAAGTGCCTGATACATGCAGGTGCTGACCAAAAAAATATCATCTCATCTCAACCGTAGTCCACAAACTAGGCTTAGAATCCAGATGTTAAGTCTCATCCTGCTGCTGCTGCTGCTGTGGGGCTTTCTCTTTGTCTCCAAAACTAAAGGAGAGTCATGTTCAACTTTGGTGTCTGAGGTGTTTCACTCCAGGCCAAAGGTGCTGGTCTCCTCCACAGCCGTCAGCATCTTCTCGTACAGCATTGAGAAGGATGGGTAAGGGGGCAGATCCAGGCGGTTGAAGCAGGTGTGAGCCCTGGAGACAGTAAACAGGATGGTGACAGTTTAGAGTGACGGTTATCTTTTAAATCTTTGTCCCCGGTCCACTTAATTGTCAGACATATGTGTATAAAGGCTCAGGTAAAGGTGAGACTAGTGTTCATATTTGTTGTGTAGCCTTTTAGATGAATATGAATCCATCATGTTTACACCTCTTACACCTCTCTGTTCTCTGTGTTTACCTGGGCAGTGACGTCACCTTCCCCCACTTCTCCACGCAGAATCTGCGCGGCCCGTTGCTGCCTCTCAGTGCAGCAAAGCCTTCGTAAGGAATACTGGATGTCCCTGTCACAAACTGATGACATGGAGAAGACGTTTATGAGTGAAAGCGTTCACAAAGACATAGACAGCTGTGCGATAAGAGCCCAGTGTTCTATACTGAATGACTGTATTATATTAATACACCAAGCAAAATTCCATATATTTCTACTTCGTGTCAGAAGCATCAGATCAACAAGAGTAAATTCTTCCGAGGAGTTAACGGATTTATGAAGTCACACAATTTATGTTTTTCTGTAGAGAATGTTTGTCCAAAAGGGAGACAAAGATGCAACTATACTTTAAAGCATCTGTGCTGCTGCAAAAATTAATCTGCTGCACAAACATACATGCATACATGCATATGAAAATGTTTATTTTAACATCACATAAATCCAATAAAATGAGCTAAAGACACTTTAAATTTAAGTGAAATAGGCAAACAATGAGCCAAAATCTAGCATTCAATATTGTTGAATGTAAGTTCAGCTAAAGGTCAGTAAATACATTTAAATCTAAAAAAAGGCAAAAACAAGGGTGTAGAAAACAGAAATAAAAAAAACCTAAGAAACAAGTAAAAGTTAGTTGAAACTTACATGTGAAAAAGTTTAAAGGTGTCAGAAACTGGGCTCTGATTGGCCAACGGAGTGCTGTCTCCACTGGTCAGTTTGTATCAACTGACTAAAATCATTATCTTTATTCTTTCATTCGTTTCTAATCTTCTTCTTACCTGCAGCAGTCGTAGTCTCTGTTCATTGTTGAATCTCTCCACCGCTGCCCAGAACCAGCGAATCACTATGTGGTTGTCATGGTAACCTGCACGCAAAAACCAAATAGTGTCACAGTCTCACAAGTGTTCACTCAGTCTGAAAAGGAAGAGGAGTAAAGTGATCAGATCACTCCACCATCATGAAGGCAGTCTCTTCCATACCTCCTCTGTACTCTGTGCTGTTCCTCCAGTCCGACAAATCGATCTCAGCTGTGCCAGCAATCACCAGTTCCAGTTCTCTGGCATCAAACACTGACACTAACCTGGAATCTACTACCTGGTTAGCACACAGAGACACACACTGAATTCATCTACTGTACAGTGAAATACACTTTATACTGGGCGGCAGCCCAAAATATGGACCGCCAGCACCCCCCAGAGGACCGCAACAGTTGTGCACCTGTGTGCCGCAGGTCTGCATACTTTATCAACTGAAGAGATACGTATGTTAACTATGAAAAACTCAGTTACTATGCTGCCACCACGTTTGACCACGTGGTGGCGTTAATGCATCAGTTAGTTCTCTAACAAGCTCCAATATACAGAGAAGAAGACTGTCTTGTTCTCTACACTAGCTGAAATAAAAAGTATGGAAAATTAAGAAGAGAGAAATGGAAGAATTTTAGAGACAGCAGAAGGGGAAGGAGAAAAGAGAGACCAGGAGTAGACACACAACACTGCTGGGTAATATTCAGAGTAGCAAACAGTAGAGGCAGAGGAAGACGTTTATCTCTGCTGGTCCTGGCTAATCTGTTCTCTGTTATCAGAGGTTAGGGCAGTCCAGTCAGGTGACCTGGGGTGGTTTACCTCATAGAAGCCTCTGACCAGACTCTCAGTCTGTTGCACAACTCCTCTCTCTATCCTCCACTTCACCATCCGCTCAATGTATTCCTTCTTATTCTTCTCTGAGACTGGGATGTTAGCTCCACCAGGTTTGAGCTCTCTCTCCGTAATCTGCAAAATTACACACATTTAAGCTCCAGTAGTAATCCAGTAACAATTATAAACTGGGCAAATTCTTAAAAAAAAAAAACAGAGCTAATTAGCTCGCTAGTGGACAAAGTTTGTCTTGAATTAAAAATGCAATTAAAAATAAAAGTTAAAAAATGTCCATGTTTTCTTTCAATCTTAAAATCAGTTAAAATTGTTAAGAGTTCACAAGAATAAAGTAAAACCAGCTAGACTGAAATGATCAAAATCCAAATATGACTAAACTAAGTCAGACATAGCAACAGTTGTGCAGTGAAGCTAAAATGCTGACCTGTCCAAAGACTTCCTCGTTGACAGTGAACGTGAGTTCCAGGATGTCCTCTATGTCATTGTCCTTTGTCCACTGGAGAGACTGGTGAAATTCCTCGTCCAGGTACTCAAGATCACTCAGGTCACAGGGACTATGGGAATATACACACACATATATACTGTATATAACATGAATAGGACTATTGACATATTTCTATTATTGTATTTCTAGTGTATTTTCTGTTTTGTTGGCTAACTACAATGTGTATACTATATTTTATTTAGAAAAAGACAAATGTATTCATTTTGTAACTTTGAGGGTAATTTTATGCCTTGAATATTACTTTACATTAGTCCATCTTTATTATTAAAATCCATCCTTTACCAAATCCCACAGATCTGTTGACTTAGTTTGACTTAAAGGAAACAACATTTACTTATGTCTTGACTTGCATTCCTTTCAAAGTACTGACACAATTTGAAGAATAATCTGTTCTTTGAGTTTAAATATTTTATGAGATTACTTGAGGTAGTATTACATACATCCGCAACAGGCCTTTATAGAATGGTCTGGTAAAAAAGGCGTCCAGCAGGTATTGATGGATTAGAGCCAGACCCAGGATACGACCGCTGAATCGAAACCTGGAATCACACACACACAGACACACACACACACACACACACTGTAAGAATTATAGTGTGGAAGAATTATAGAAGAAAAATTAATCCCTGAGATTTCATGTAGCTAAGTTTGAGCTAAAAGACGCTCAGACCTAGATGTAAATCGAAATAGAAAATCTGTTTTCACTAAACCTATTAAATGATAGTAAAATATATTTTACTAAAATAATAAAACTAGTAACAGATAGCAGGAGTATTGTGTACTTCTAACCATTCATGGTGATTATCTACGAAGGCAGACATGGGGCTGATCTGGACGGTGTAGGTGTCGTTGGCCGAATATTCAAAAAGACCATAGTAGGGGTTGAAGAGCTCCCTGGACACCAGGAAAAAGAACTCTCTGGACGGTCCACTGTAGTCCAGTCTGTGACACACATACACACACACATTGTTGTCACTTGTTGCGGTTTGTACATCTAAATTAAATCACCAAATCTGACAACTGTGTGTATGATGATGAGACTCACCCTTCCTCCCCCACAAAACTAACATAGAGTTTGCTGCGCTGCAGGTCTTTGCGAGAGTAGCACATGATCTGGTTGAAAGCATCCTCCAGCAGATGGTCACGGCGGATGATCAACCTGAGACACAAACACAAGATGTTGTGTGTAAACCAAAACACCACAACACAAATGACAACTGTGGTGGTGTAATGGACTGACTTTAATTTTCCTGGTCCTTGGCCGTAACCTTTAGTTTCGAGCTTCCTGTAGAAGTTACGCAGCTTGGCCTCAAAGTCTCTTTTGTACGGAGCTGGGGCTCGAGCATTTGCCCTCTGAGTGCCTGAAATGAGAGGGTTAAAAACTTACATCATAGTGCATTAGACCATAAAGGGGAATGTACAGTTTTACAGTTTTCTGCCTGTAACTTTTAGCTATTTCTGTGCTATTTAATTTATCTGCATTGTCTGAATGCTGACGGCTCTAAATTTTGAGATCATGCCCATTAACATTATTGTCTTCGACTGTAGGGATCCTGTCACATTCCTTCGAAACCCCAGGCAGAAACCCCACATCAAATTTGAATTTTACAAGCTGCAAAGACTCGTACCAGGTGAATTCTGTGGCGAGGAGACAGGAGATCCCCGTGGTGACTGGCAGTAGCTTGGGTGAAGTAAAGCGTGGGGGGGCACATAAGACATGACTTCATCTTCAAACAGGCTGCAGGGAGGACAAGAAAGATGAAGTGGACAAGTAATATAAGAAAAGCTGAAAAGTAGGGAGAGGTGGGAAAAGACAAAAGGACATAAAGAGGAGGAAAAGGAGGAGACAGTATTTCTCAATAGACATTTAAAATTTTTATGCCTTCCGGAACCAAAATGCTCTGTGTTTAATCTGTATTTTTTACTGGAGCTGCTGGTCTACTGCTGCACTGATTTTACAGATGGAGGCAGCAGTGTATAAAACTTACATGTGCTGTGATGCAATCATCCTTGAGGTTTTCCACCGAAATTTGGTGCATGGAAAAATGGCTTTAATATATATTGTAATGTGTACTGTATGATTTGCCCATACAGTATCAGAGCATTTGTGTTAGGCAAAATGATCACCTCATGTAAACTAAATATAGATCTTTTTCCCCCCATTTTGCCACCTACAGATGGGTCGGAAGAAACAAACAAATTAAGTTAATAAACAGACACAAAGGCAGGAACTGGATTTGTTCTCACCTCAACAACATGACCAGGTCAGCATCTCCAGACAACCTGGCCAATCCTGATACTCCATCACTTCGGATCAGCTGCACCTTCTCCCTGTTTTGCAACAGTAACTCAAAGTTCACCACACATCGGTACTAACTAACATGTGTCAGCAGACACACAAAGTGCTAAGACACAACAGTAATCAGGTACCAAGAGTCCATACCTCAGTGAATGGTTCCGACTGATGTCTGGTTGTCGTTCCTGCAAAATCTCAAAGATGTTCATTTGCCTAAGGAATGCCACGATCTTGTCGTTGTAGGCTGAAAAAACAACGACGCACATACACGAACACACACAAATATATCAATGATGGTCTTTATTTCTGGGTACAATAATGGTAAAAAAATACCTATAATGTGCTATTTACTAAGCGATTATTAAGTATAAGACAAGAACATGCTAAATATTAGCCAAATTAGCATAAAGAAATACATAAAAGTTAGCTAAAATGGTTAAACCATATTGTACAGGACACAAAAGCTGTTCAAAAGGATTTTTCCTGTGTGCTCTGTACTCACCCACTGGCACAATGTCTGGACACTGCCCCCTGTTGGCAGAGGTAAACGTGCTGGAGGGCCGTGGTATAACTGGGGGGCCAGCATGACGATCGTCTCCAACCTGAATTTAAGAAGAGAACAATCCGTCGACGTTAGGGTAAAGTTAAACAGTAGTCTGATTATAACCAAAAACCAGAGGAAACACTTTGTTACCAGTCGCCGTGTGCTGACTTCACCAGCACTGTGACTGCGCTGGCGGGTCAGGTGTTGGCGGTGAGCCAGGATGCTGGGGGGTCGTGTGCTCTGGAGGGGCAGCCGGGGGTCGATGAAGGTGGTTGCTCGGCAGTTATGGTCCACAAAGAATGGCTGTATGTTTAGGGATATCCAGACAATAGGTTGAACAGGATGAAGATAGCCAGTACAAATACATTAATGGTATTACATAAGTAAACATGTGCTTACAGGAAATAGCCAATTATCTACTATCTAGCAATGCGGTGATCTACCAGTAGAGAGCGACTGAGCAAATAAAGTGAAAAAATAAATTTAATTCTACAGATGTAGTAGTAACCATATACTGAAAGAATGAAATCACATGGTGTCGTACAGCTATATGCATTAATCAGTGCATATATATATAGGGTACATTCAGTTTACATGAGTAAAAGAGTATATATTTTGCTAAAATATGCTGCATATGAAAAGGCTAAACATAAAGAAAATATGATGGACAAATCAGAGATAATTTAACTCACTACAACCTTACTACAGCCTGGCCTTGTATGTGTGTGTGTGTGTGTGTGTGTGTGTGTGGTCACAAACAAAGTGTATCACCACCAGGACCGTGTGAAGTTGTGTTCCACACCTTGCCCATGTGGTCGTGCTTCATCTCCCAGCCTCTGGGCAGCTCCAGCTGCTTGTTGGTGAACATGTTGAGAAAGGCCACCAAGTCCCTGTTGTGCTGGTAGCGCTCAAAATGGTGGGCATCTCTGCGAACCTTACTGATCATGTGTTTCAGACACGTGTTGGAGGCAAACATCCGGTAGGCACTCTGACCCAGAGATGGAAACAACAGATAGAAAAACATTTCACATTTTTGAATGAATAATAAACTTATTTTACATATATTAGCCTAATGAATAAACGTCAAGGTCTAATTTCTAAAAGAAAATGCTTGCAAAGTGTTGATAAGATTTTGATAGATTTGCTATATTATTAGCCTTGACCTACTGGACCTTTGACCTTAAGATGACATTTAGCTGTTAGCATTCTACCTATGGCCTGGTCTCATATTTGAATATAATGGAATCTTGATGTAGTGGAAAAAGTAAAAATGACATTTGAAGAAATATTCTGAGAATACGCACAGGGTTGGAATGCAGCACACTGAAGAAGTCGGGGCTAATGAGGAATTTGGCGCTGGGAGACTGAAGCAGCAGAGTCAAGCGAGACCTGGAACTGGACTGGGCCACATTATTGTCCCTGCGCAGCTCTGTAACACATTCAATTCAGAGTGCTAGTGAATTATTAACAATTTGAGGCCTTGTGCATTTTTAAGATGACACAAAACAACTTCATGAGCCCAGCTGTACATTGTACAGTAGTACAGTGAGGAATACCTGGTATTGTGGAGTGCATGTCGGTATCGTCCAGTTCTTGTACTGGAAGCTCCTCTGGTCTGCTCTCATTGGTTATCGTTCTGCGTATGCTTTGATACCTGAACAGGAGTGTGCTGGTTTTTAATGTCCATGTAAAATTCGATTTTTTGCTTTTGCAAAGTCTGAGTGTAAAATGTCTAGCTGAGAAACTAAGAGAAGTAGCATTAAAACTGGCTGAACGTTAGGTAAACAGCCAAAGGAAGCATCCTCCTCTCCAGTACCTGCGGTTTAATTGCTCCATTTGTTGTATCGAGTTCGATCTCTGTAGTATCTGTGGTGCAGGGGGCGCTGTGGGGCGCTGCCATGTTGTGGTTCTGTTTACATGGTCCACATAGAAGATCCGTCCATGGCTGTCAATGCGAGCCTCCCAGTCTAGATGAAAACAGGAGTGTGGTCTTCACCCATCAATAACATAGTCACTGATAAGATGGCAACCTGCTTGACCTTACCAAAATATACAGTATAGCAGGGCAAGACAATTTTACCTCACAGAACAGTGAGATGAAATTGTTAGTGTGTGTACGCGGATTACCGTGCATGACAGAAATAAACACACAGACTCACTTGGTGGCAGCGGCTCATCCACTCTTTGGTAGCGATTAGCTTCATGGCGCACTGATGGGACTGAGCGAACTGATGGGTGGCCAGTCATCTGAGCTGGGGCAGCTGCCCCTACACACACACCTACACACACACACGGATAGCATGGCCATTAAAAGACATTCAAGGTCCACATAACCATGGCACTTGGACATATATATATATATATATATATGGCCAGCTACTTCATTCCTTTTTACTCAATCTATGTGCTTATTTAAGCTTTAAGCTATTTTGCAAAAGAAAATATTTTGGACTATCTATTTTTAGGAGCGCTATTATTCTTCTCACCTGTCTCTCTCTCCCCCGTGGCCACACTCTGGCTCTCTTCCTGGTTCTGGGCTCTGCTGTCCATGGTCTGCATGGACTGGCGTCTCCTCCACACCTCCCTCCTTTCATCCTCGTCCTGTGCGATCCCGCCACTTGCTTGAGCGCCTGTAACAAACCGTCAGGTGCTTTTAACCAAACTATTCCATTTTAAAGAAATACTTTTTTTGTCTTTCCTTAGTATCACCACCTACCACACGCAGAAGTCTGATCTTCTTCGGCTGCTGCTGCTGCTATTGGACCGTTTGCCTGGCTGCTTATTAACTCCGCGCCTTCCTCCTCAGCCTTCGGAGCTACTTCTTTTTCTACCTCCACTTCCTGATGAGAGAAGTTTTAGATTTAGAATAAAACGTTAAAATTCATAACCTTTTTAAAATACCAAATAAACTTTACAGCAGCTGCTCCATATCTACAAGGAAGGTATTAGTCAAAATGTCTGTGAAGATAATATATATTTCAAGCATATATTGCCAATTAATACATAAAAGATACAATTAAAACTGACTAAACATATCTGAAGAGAACAGAAAGGACAGACATATTGATAGAGGTCAGTGCTCACCTGGATTTGTGAAAGAGGACCAAGTGCAGAGTTACTGGACGCATCCAGGTTTGTCGCCGCCCTGCAGGTACACTCTCTCACAGACGCCCCTGACTCAGAGTTTGCAGCTGCCTCTGTCCCTGAGGCCTGATCAGAGCAGGAAGCTTCTACCTCATCTCTTGCACCTTCAACCTCTAAAGTCTCATCTGCAGCTTCAGAGGCTGTGGAGCTTCTCGTTGGCGTCGGAGCTACAGCCGCACTTTCTGCGATGGTTATGGTTTGAGCCTCCGAAGACTCAGCCTGTGGCTCGGCTGTGGCCACAGCTTCAGTCTGTGAGTCTCTGACTGAACCACCATTGCCCTGCTGACACTCAACTGATGTGCTCGGTAACACAGAGCTGGGCAGAGTCTTGGCCTCCTGTGATTGGTCTCTGTGCTGCCCTGCAGCTTCATCATCATCCTCATCTGAGTCTATGTGTAGCATAGCGTTAAGCCGCGTGTCCGTGGGAAAACTGGAACGCAGCTTTGGCAAAGCTCCACTCAGAGACTGGTCTCCAGGACTACAGGGGGTCCCTACAGCATCTAGGTAGTCATTGAGGGACACCTGTCGGTGAGTATGGCCACCCGCAGCCACGGGACGCAGATCCTCTTCCACCACGTGCCCGGGTTCCCGCCACACATTGTCCTCCCCAAAGTAGCAAGTGCCATTGACCAGTGGGGAGCCCACATCCACACCTGTGGGGGAGAATCTGCATGTGACGTACGAGGACGTAGAGGGCTGGGGAAGGTCTTCATCATCTGAAGGACTGCCTGGGTCACCGTTCGCTGTGGCACCCAAAATGGTTTCCATTGTGTCGGGGGAAGCTTCTGCTGGGGTGGAGGAAGCAGATGAAGAAAATGACAGAAGGAGAGAGGGAGAGGGAGAGAGAAAAGAGCTCCAGTCATTTGTAGATATAAACTCTTTAAAAATAGATATAGTGTCCAGAAAAGGCTGCCTAATCATAACAACATCAGCAGAGGTTACAGCAGACACCCAGCCAATAACATGTACGGAGCACAGGAGTAATGAACGTAACAGTGAGGAAATATTCCAAACATAATATGGGTGTATGCTGTGACTCCAACACTATTTTGATTCTGGTAAAACTAATGAATATGCTTGGTTATGTAGAACTAGTAGAACGAGCTTCAGTCCAGATGTCCAAATTTGAACTTCTTGTGATCATGTGACCAGGGACCTGGGATGACTGAGAACTTAGAAGCACTATATAAAATGTCTCTGTCACATATCAAATGCAAATATTTTGGCTGCCATGACATGTTTACACACATACGCACCTTCATGCCCAATAGAGGTTATGTCCACTCTAAACAGAAGATGTCCGCTTACATGGTCTGTTGGAAGACGGCGTCCAAGGCTGTACCTGAACGTCTGATCACTGCAAAACAGTAATTAAAACAACAATAAGTAAACAGTGGACAAAGCTGTGTTACATCTGGTTTGAAGAAACGTAACAACAATAAAGTAGAAGAATGCAAAACAGACGACAGTTTTAACCTTTGACTGTTCATGTTGGTTACTGTTCCTGACCAAGCCAGTTCTGGTTCTGATTCTTTTCTGTGTTGAAGTGTCCTGACAATTTAGCATACCTATCAGAACAGCAGTGCTACGTCACTGTGGATACTGCATTCATTAGTTTATGAGAGTACTGCAGCTGTCCAGCCCAGCCCAGACAGTGTATGCTCTATTAGTGTTTGGACTCACTCTGTTGGACGCTCCAGCAATCTTTGTACAGGGATAATCAGCTGACCCAAAAAGCGCTTGATGATTGGTCGGCTTTTGGCAAATTTATCTTTTACTTCAATCTGCAGCACATCGGTCATCAGAGCCACAAAGGTGTACTTCTGAAAGGAAGGTACAAATACCTTTAATTTCTCACAATCTTCTCTTAGTTTTATTTTTGTTTTGTGTTTGTTGTTCATTTGTGCTCACCTCGCCTTGCCACACAGGGTTGATAGTGTTGGCAATAATGGATGACCGCCTCTCCTGGCCATGGTGGGTGAACTTGGGCAGACCAGTTCTCTTTCCAGGCTGGATGGACATCTTTAAATATGGGTCTGGGTTGAAGAACATGCCCTTCTTCAGACCTGCTGCGTGAATGTCTGGAAGCAAACACAAACGTCCGTCAGCATATGACCCACAGCACATTAGGACCGGGGATACTTGATACATGATTCTACCTGATAGAGTGAAACTGACAAGTTTACGACAGTGCTCTATCCCTGATTGGTCATCTAATTGACCTTCACCGGCAGCCTGACAGAAAAACAGACAACAGTAGAAGATAACTTTTAGAGCAAAACATTTTTTTTACTTGCACATTTCATTGAAAATACAACTTGTTGCAGGTCAATTTTAGTGCCTCACAAACATTCCTTTACGACACACACTTACTGGTACTGTAAGGTTCTTGACAGTGATACAAGGTGTCGTCGCTCTCAAAGCTCCACTCACACCATGATAGTATTTGAAACAGATTTTAGTCTCCGCTGTGAAAAACCAAACACATGTGAGAGCAATTATCACATTGAAAACAGTGACAACAATGTTTACCAGACAGCTGCAATAGGATCCAAATATAGAACAGGCTTCATCCACTCACGTTCCATGAGGTACGGTCCAGGCTCTAGTCTCCATACGATCTGACCCTTCTGAGTGCCGTTTACACCGCGGTTCTTGGAGTCCCACACGTTGGCTACACATGTTTCATCTATAAAAATACATAGACCATATGTGAGAAATTGGGAGTTCAGACAGAAGTAGGTCAATGATAACATGGGCTGAAACTGTGTCTGTCATTTGTTCACCCTGACGATATTCTCATCGATTCTCCCACCAAGGACCACCACATCAAACAAGTTTGACAAACTGTCAAGATGTTAAGGTAGAAGTTTCTTGTTCCAACCAGGGTAGGGTATTATGTTTCATAACTGTAATGTTTTACATCGGGTTTGGGATGTCCTGTTTGCATTGAAAACAACTACACTACAACCCAATATGTGGCATTTTTCTGATAGACATTTAAACATCCAGCTCAAAATAAGACAATACAAATAAACTATACCAAATTAAACCAACACTGAGCCTTGGACCTGCCTATTTCTATCCCGCTGACACCCATGATCAAGTCCACAACATATCTTATATTAAATCTGTAATCACACAATTACTTCCACAATTAGTCCATACTCTGATAGGTTCTTAAATACTACTTCCTGTGTACACATACACATTTTATGTATGTCAGTCATGGGAACATGCCCTTCAGCTGAGCTGGAAACAGTGGTCATCTGCTGAGAGAAAACCCCAGAGATCCCCAGCCTTCCTGAATCAATACAATGAAGATCTCACCTTTCACAGGCGTCCACTCGTCCTACTGCCTCTGATAAAGGCACTCATTCTCTTCTACACAAGAACACAATTGCTCTTGACAGCGTTTGTTAAATGGTGTGTGTTACACTGACCGGGGAGAGATGCCCCAACTTCTTGCAGCTAGGACGCAATAATATGTAATATAACATGTGGGTCCTCAGATTGCATCCTTCTGTCTGCTTCACACCTTTTGTAAATCATCACCTCATCATGACCATACTGCACAGGACCATTTTAGATTACACGTATGCTGGGTCTAGAGTTAGCAACCGAGCCAATTCGTATATATATATTTAATTATTCATGGTGTGTTATTTCAAGATGGATGATGAAAAATGCAGGCTGCAGAGAACACACAAACCAAAGAGTTCATTAAGTGCACAGGCTCTCTCGTTTCTTTATTTAATCATAGCTTTAACATTAAAGATTTTCCAACTGTTTTATTTAATTTGGTTTATAGTATTTTGGATTACATACACAGCAACATTACTATTTTTTGTGTTGCTTACTTTTAGCAAATCCTTAGGTGATTTCTTAATGCTTCTTTATCTGTGTGATCCTTAGTTACCATTTCACAACATTTAATCACTTTTCTCACATGAAGTTGTAAATTATTTTGACATTTTTCCATCTTTCTTTTTTTTTGCTTTGCTTTGTAGTTACCTCTTACCTCCTGTCCAAACAGAGGACATCATTCCTCACGGAAATTCAGTGTGTCATTCCAGATGACAGCAGAATAATATTGAGTACAGATTAAAGAGGGAGAGTGAAAGAGAGAGCACGGGTGCTGAAGAAAGGCTGACAGAGAGATTGAAATATGACGTACAGTAAGCAATAACCTAGAGCACATAAAAGCTACTAAGGCTGAGTCAGCATTGAATTCAACAGGATAACCTACTACTCGATTAGAACAGGCGATTTACCTTTGTGCACACACACACATACACACACACAATGGCATTAGTCAGTTAATGTAATAGAAGACAGGCTAATGTGATACTCTAACCTTGAGGAGATGAGAAACAAGTCACAATTTTCCAAGCAAACATTTATAGAGATGCTTTTTTTACTCTAGCAGTGACTTTGTCAGGGTTGTATATTGCATCTCTGGTGTATCCTCCTCCATTTTAGTTGCAATTTATGACAACGCAGTAGATGTTTCATAACCGTCCAATATTATTATTATTATTATTATTATAATGTGTCTTCAAAATAGGGCTGTTCAGGGCACACACTAAATTGTGTGTTATTCAAAAGACTAAATCAGATTTTATTTCAAAATTAACACTGAGTGGAACTGCTTATTTAGCACAGTGCTAAATGACCCTGAGCTACAGTCAAAGTCAAAAACCTTGAGGCAGTGGAGGAGACAACCATTATATATATATATTATATAGCATTGTGTCCAAAAATGTTATAGCAGTTACAGCAGCTTAGTGTTAGCACTGTGTACTGGCTGTAGAGAAATTGAGGGCTGGGCTCTAGAAGCTATTTTGTTTGCAACCGACCCATCACCCCCAGGGGTCATTGAGCAGCAAACTTATTAAAAAAAATTATAATGACAAAAATGCATTAATGCACAATAAAATAGTTGTCATCATAATTTCTGCTTAAATGCAATAATACTACATTATTACAACAGTTACTGGGTTCTGTACTGTGCAGCATTCAATCACACTAGAGGGTGATGTTAAAGTGATGTCTTTGGAAATCAGTGATGGAAGTGAAGTCTGTTTGCTCACCTATGTGGTAGAGACCAATCCAGTCGGTGGCGTCCACTTCTTCCTTAATGTCCCAGAAAATAATGAGGCTGCCATGACCAAGAGTAAACTGGTATGTAGATGCTGTGAGTGAGGAGCGGCTATCTGAGGAGACCAGGTCTGTGTCGCTGTTGGCCCGCTGGAGTCCCATACTGGCTGATTCTGGCTCACCCCCTGATGACATGGCAGAAGAGGGCGATGAGGAGCCAGAAGCGGAGCCACTCACTGGGCCCTGCATTGACAACCCACAAAGGTTTTCAGGCCCAATTGTGTAGGGCCGAGTCTGTGGGACGCGCTGCCGCACAACCAGGAGGTGCTCTCGGGCGCTGCCATTTGCTGCTGATGATGTTGTTGGTGGAGAAGAAGAAATGGATGAGGAGGAGGCGGCAGCTGCCAACGCCATTGTGTCAGCTGAGTCAGTAGGAACAGGTGATGAGTGGTTGTGCTGAGGAAGATGATGACGATTGTGATGGTGGTGATGATGAAGGTTGTGAGGTAAGGAGGTGACAGAAGACGAGGAGTTGGAAAATGACCGGGGGCAAGGGCGAGGGGGGAGCAAAGCTGTGGTTAGGGAGGGTCGAATGATTGAAACTTAAAGGACAACAGGGAGAAAGAAAGAATAGGAGGCAAAGACGTCTGGGTCGAGGGAAGTCTCTGGATGAGGACAGGAGTTCCAGTTCTACCCCCCACCAAAATATACTGTCAGCTCCAAAGTTTGAGATTGTCAGCACATATCATTGATGCAGTGGCAGCAGCAGTGTATTGTTGAGTTCACATCATGCCCCTGCTGTTCGTCCAAAGGGGGGCGGTAGAGAGAATGACCAGTGAGAAGGTAGTAAAGGTGATGTGGTCCTTAATCCTCGTTGATAAATGACAGGGTAGACCTGTGGTCCACATGGATGGAAGAACATCTGACAACTGTATTGGGGACACAGAGAGAGATATTAGTACTGACACATTTAAAAAAAAGCATGTTCAAACACTATTATACGATACACAAGTCCAGTTGAGACAAACTCCCAGACACACCCATTGAAAATTGTTGGATTTTTTGTTTTGTAGGGTGGATTGTTTTTATAATACTATCAGTCAAGATAAAAATGTTAGGAACTAGCCAAAGACTTCAGATCAGCCTAGTTAGTCTAGTTGGATTACTGCTCTGACACTGAGCACATCTGGTTCATGTCCACTTCAAAAAAGATTTCCTGTTGACCTTTGCTGAGCACACACAAGGAACACGACATGACATTTCCTCTTTCATCCTTTCCATTTTTTAATTTGCTTTGTCTTAGCCTCTCGCTCTTTTACAATGCCACAGTTGCAACGTGGTTGCCATGGTGAGAGGTGATTACACCAAACTCAAGACACATCTTCTCCATCAGTCACACCTACTGTATCAGCTGCACATCTACACCTACTCCATTTCCTCTTTCCAACTGCACCTTGATTTTATCCATCCATCCATGTCATTCAGACATCAAGGAACCATACTAAAATTGAAATTTACATAATATATGTCCTCTTTAATGACAATGACAAATGCATGGTCACACTCATGTGCATACTGCAGAGTGGTGATGAAAGTCCATAGTTCAGCAGCAGGATTAAAACAAAACGAGATTTTCTCTTGGCAGAATAAATCCGCCGCATTAGTGGAGGGCTTAAAATCTGCAGTTAGATGTGAGTTCTCGAACAGCTGCCTTACCCTCAGACTGTAAAGATCGTCAACACTTCTGGATGTGGAAAAGTGAAAAGTCACATTTGAGCTTCTGAAAGAGGAACCATAAAAATATACTAAATATATTTAGGTAACGCTGATTGATTGCCATTCTATTTTCCATGTCTTTGTATAAACAAGAAGAAAACATACAATGACATTTCAGATCTATAACAATAGTAGATTGTTCCTCCAATGACACAGGGCAGACTGCAGTCTGTTCTACATTAGAATAATCAAGGACAAGAGACAATATGAACACTGCGGAAGCTTTTGGAGGTTAATTCAGCTAATAAGGCTGATTGAATTAGAATTAGAGGAGCTGGCAACAGCTCAGACAGTATGTCGGAAAAGGGAATGACTCAAATCCTTCACCTCTACTAAACCACAGAGCTGTGAGAAGCTTCCAGAGCACAGTACGGCCTCATCTTCTTTCTCAATAATCTCAGTATATCATGTTTTGCTCTCCTTTTTCCTTTTCCTTCTGTAACTTACAGAAACTTACAAAGTACAAGGTCATTACTGTAAGACTGTTCTTCATTTCTTTATGCTGTTTAATTCAGACCAATAATTTGATGTATTATAAGATGCTGCTGCACGTAAGAACACTTCACTCACTTTGTCAACATCTTTTCTCTTTTTGAGTGTCTGCATTCGTTTCAATTTGTACCTCTGGGAGTCCAGTTTTAGTTTTGAGTGTAGAATACTGGGAGAAGCTTCAAGACTCAAGTATGCAGGTTATTTTGAAATGGTTTCACTTAGAGACTAAAAATACACACAGCTGGTAAAAGCAGAGCCGTTCACCATGGCTGCCTGACACACCGCAGGTGTATGCCTTGTAGCTCGCGTTTGACTAAATCAGTGGGAAGTCAAAGTAGGACAGGCAGAACATATTTACACACACAACCACACACAGCTTCCCTATAAAAACTAGTCACTAGTGTGGTTCTTAAACCCACACTCCTGTCCATATTGTGGCTGCTGGTCCAAGGTATTTGGAGTACTTTCTACAGCAATTTTAGCAAACTGTAATTTTAGCAAATTTGCAGCTTTTCCAAGGCTAATTTGATGCTGAGCTTTACAACACTGTAAAGTACTATTTCAACCTATTAGAATAAAGACGTTTGATCGATGATTTTTACGTATCATTTTAGAACACCATGGAACTGATTCAAAAGAAAAGTGCGAGTTTTATCTATTAACCTTCATAATAATCATTAACAGCACATTGCCATTAATAATCAGGATTAATATTGTTGCCAATATTGCCCAACCCTACCAACAGGCAAGTTGTTAAATTGCCCAACCCTACCAACAGGCAAGTTGTCAAATCTCTAAATGAGAGTCAGACAATTAGCGTGCCTCACCCCTCTGAGTTGACAGGACAGGTGGATGAACCGGACCTGGGGTCAGAGGTACTTCTGACGGCTGGGTGCCTCTGTCGCAGTGGTTACAGGAGATTGTGCTGCCATGCAATAATGGAGATAAAATGCCGTGTCCCAGGCAAACTCCATCCTACCGTCTTGGATCAACTTACTCAAAACCGCAAAGACATCATGGTAGTAGATGGAGTACCACAACAGGCATCCATGGATATCACGTGCAGGTGCATTATTTATCTGGAACCCGAATGACAACGACATTAACTGTACCATTTGATGAAGCCTGTGATCTGTAAATAATTAATAATCTGATTTTACTTTTCAATAATGTTTCCCAGCTCTGAGACATTCTATTCATCTTATTTCAGTAAGTGAAATGAGATATTCACAAGACATTTTGAATAAACAATTACGTTTATTTACAAATATACAGTGTTGCACATAACAGACTATTACAACATTTTGTTAACAATTTAACATTTGAAGCAAATACATTGCAAAACAGGATATAGATATTGTAATCAATGACTTTAATTTTATGTGGAGTTAAGAACAAGCATCACTCAGTGAAATGAAGCAGCTGAAATCTCCAGTTTTGTTTGTATTGGTCTCGTTGCTAACACCCTGGCTCTTGTGGTCCCAGAAAAAGTCCTGTGTGATGACTGTGGTAGCCCGGGGACCCCCTCATCCTCCTGGTCGGTCTCTTCTGGTGTTGCTGTAAAACAGGTCACATTAAGTCCCACAATCTTTGACACAGTTGCTATTTTGTGTCACGATCTCACAAGATTTTCTAGCATAATACATCTATGGCTGAGGAGCCTTCTTGGTACCATAGACGTAGCTATGAATAAATATATATATGTACATATATACAGTATGTATATTCATAACTGCATTGAAAATAGCTCACCTGATGTTTTCACAGGAAGTGTCCACCTCTTGTTCACAGGTCTTTCTTATCCAGGATACAGGTCTCAGTCCTCTTGTTCACAGGTCTTTCTTATCCAGTTATCTCAGTTGAGGTGGTCATCTGGTGAACAAACGTAGACCTTCTCTGGTGGATATTTCATTTTCAACTCCATTGGTCACTCCAAACGCGTAACCATTGGCATTGAGGTCAAGAAGGTGCTGGACATGGGTGAGCTCTCCTACAGTAGAGACCTTATGTGTGAAGCACTCTGTTGCCAAAAAATCCTTTAACTTCGATGAGTGGTTGGCACAGCAGCCACACAAAGACATCACCTCATCATGCCGCTGTCAGGCAGCAGTGTTGTAGGTGACAGGAAGTAGAAAATCGGAGAGGCTGTCACGAAGGCACATAGTGTTAAGACTGTAATAACATGGACGAATCTCCTGGAATTCAAATGGGGTCACCTGAAATGTCTAGTAATTGATAAAAACATTGAAAAGAAAAATATTGATTTTTTTAACTAATTATGGAAATTATTATTCACCTCCAGTTGATCAATGGCCACAATCACAGGACTGCACAAGTGACAGCTACTACTAATTCTTTAAAATGGCATTCAGTAAAAACGGCTTTTCTCTGAGAGTCACTCAACAACTACTACTACAACTGGTCTTTAAAAGACCCTTAATATTTTATATCCACTCCACTAACCTGCAGGAATTCTGTTCGGTTGCTGCAGAGATTAACTACACAAAGAGACTAGTACACATACTACACAAACAAATCCCTGTTCTTAAAATGACTGTTGCCTAAGTGAGGAACAACGAGGGAGGAGCTTCCTGTCCATGACACAGCCATAACATTACTCTGTGCCATGTTGATCTGGGTGTCTAACCTTGTTAAGGAGTTCCCAGACCTGACAGTTTAACATTTACAACTAGAACAAGGACATTTGATCAAACTAAAAACCAACATTTTGGAGTCTAAAGCAAAAACCAAAGCTTATGTTTAAATCCTAAATAGGCAAATGACCAACTAGTATTGATGTTTGATGTCGTATTATTCACATAATACATGTTAATGAGAAGGCACAGATTTAGAAGATATCATTTTCACTGTTCTGTTTAATACACTGGTGGATTTACAATCAAGACAGAAACGGCTGTAAACACCACGGGAAGGTCTTCCAAACATGAAAATCTGAATGACCATAATATTTTTACTTGGATTTAGAAGTGACTTTTGTGCATCACCATCAGTCACACAGACACCTGCATTTCAAAAGATGCTGGACACTAACATGTTATCAGATAAGACTACTTTCCTTTTCCTTTGCTATGGCTCTGATAGCTTCTTCACTTATTAATCATTCAATGATTACGCCTTGGTATGTCTTTAAAATAAAATGGTACCCGTCTGCTCATATCCTGTAAATACATGGTTCCCAAAGTTTATGTAGGTAAAATGTAAGGCCGGGCTTCAGTTACCTGGTTCTCATGCTGCAGAACCAAGCTCTCCATACAGAGTTAGACTTTGCTGATTCATGAAGCTAAGAGTGACAGATGGCTCAAGCAGGGTTCCTATGTTTCCTTTTTAGCTGTATCTAGTACAGGAGGTCCCCAGTTTACGATGTCCTTGACCTACAGCGTTCAACTAGTCGGTGGGCTACAACCAGTCGGCGGGCGGAGTGGACAAACGTAGTCACGCAGCACTATACAAGAAGGAAGACGGCTTTGTTAACGTATGTGTTGTTTTTTGGGAATGACTTGTTCTTAACTATGGCTCTATGGTAAAAACTGAAGAACTCCTTTTACAGTGACATGAACATTTGATTGGCTGGTAGTCAATGTTTTATGTCAAGTAGGTCATCCAAGGAGGTTGAGTGATTGATATCTGCTAAATGACCGTTTTGATGGACTGTATGACAGAAATCCAACTAAGAATCCTTTCTTTCCTTCACATTCACATAAAGGATACACAGTACATTATGCATTCTAGGGCATAGAGGTAGTCTTGGAATCATCTGAATATTGTAATGTAATGCCAGTGTGCAGTGTGCCATATATGGACTTGTCCTCAGTAGGATCAATGTTCTGCTCTGCGAAAGTGTCTGGGAGTAAAACATTGGAGATCTGCCATACTATCTAATACCAGGGATGAAAGGAAAACTGGCATCAATCCAATATTATTCCACATTTATTATAAAACTGAGCAATGCTTCAAATCAAAATCCACACGTACAGTAGTTTAAAAAATAAGATCAAAGTAGTTGGTCCTAATGAGAGTGTTTGCCATTTTGTTTCACTTTTTGTGGACAGTAAGAAGATTTATGAATCTGTGCCTAATGTTAAACATTTAAAAAAAATTACATTTTTTAAAAAGTGTATCAATGAACAAGCCAGTATGTGTATCTGGGGCCTATGTTGGTTTACCTTCTTAAAATTGGTGTTAAAAAGAAATAGGTTTTAAAGTGTGTGACCTTTTACCATAAATTGTAACTCATTTTATCACCAATGTTTTGCTTTGAGCATTTTTAACAAGTGGGTTAACTTGTAGGTATGATGTAATAATCATAACTTGCATTTAGCAATGTGAAGTTGAACCTGGAATGTATTCACTCTTAAACCTTATATTAATATTCTAAATGTTCCACAACCTCATCATATCCAATCTGGAATTCCTTGGGCACATCTAGGTGTTTGTCATTACAAAACATTAACACACATACACTGGACATACACTGCTTTACAAACATGTGAGTCGTTAGTGATGTGAAAGTCTGTCCAGGCAATATCTACTGGAATTTTTTTAAAAGAAACGTACAATTTTCAAGTTTCAAGGGCATGTTCCGTTATGTTTATGGCCCGTTATGTTCATTTGCCCCAGTCTGTGTTGATTTCGGTCTGTGGGTCTTAGAGTCAGGGATTCGATTAGGATCAGTTGAATTGTGACTATGACGAATCAGTGTGTTTTTACTCTGACACCTACTGTTGATATAGTTGTTTTAAAGCCATTGTTTGGTCTAAGGCTGTCCAAAAAGGAGCACTGTTAGACGGCAGTGCCCTAAACGCACCATGAGCTGTAACATCGTGAAATTCACACGGCGTCAATAAACGCACTAAGGCTTAAGAGGACAAATGGTTTCTAATATTACACTCGTATGTCTTACCTTTACAACAGAGTTCCAGGAAATCGCACATATGCCAAAAATAGATCCGAACAAGTTGCTCTAGCTTGGGTGTCGGAACTAGGGCCTCTTGAACCCGGCTGCTGGGCCGACAATACTCGGTTATTCAGCCTTTTTCCCTTAAGGCGACATCTTCCTAATAAAATGTCCATGTGAAGAACAGCAATAAAGGAATAAGCGTCCTGCCTCTGGTGATACTTGCGGACGTCCGCAGCGTAGTGTTTTCCTCCGAATACAGATAGTGGATGTGTTATTTATTCCTCTGCTCCACATCCGCCTCCCTCCCGTATCCGCTGCTCCACTCACTTTTCCTCCCGGAAAGCAGAACAACATGTCACCCTCTCATTTCGTTGACGTATTACTGCCCGTTACAGCAGAGCCGACTTTGCTATAAATGTAATTGTGTCTATTAGATCAATTCAGTAGGTAAATCCAACAGGAGACATCTACTGTGAGTAACGCTGTGAGTATCAAGCTAGTGTTGCGTTCAAGTACCCCTCGAAATTCTTACTTTTATAATATGTAAACAGTTTTCTTTTTTTACGGGAAAGAGATATTGGAATAAAATACTGATCCTAAGACCTTAAAGCTATGATGTAAATTGCTATAAAGGATTTAATCGTTTCTTAATGAAGTCTCAACACACAGAGAAAAAAACAGGGAACTAATCGTCTATGATAGCAAAATGTGAAATTATTTAAAAAAAGTAAATAAACCAAGGAAAAAAAAACAAAGATAGGGTCAACATTAAACATTAAAAAAAAAAAAAGTAAATAAACCAAGGAAAAAATACAAAAACAAAACAAAGATAGGGTCAACATTAAAAAATTTGAAAAGCAAATAAATAAATAAATAAATATATATGTAAAGATGTCACTTTACTGTGTCTGTTCAAACTGACCTTGAAGATGACCAACTAAATAAAAAAAATATATATATAGCAGTACAAATGTCCTTTGTGTGAAATGCCTTTTAGTAAAAAATGTATTTGAAAAAATAGTCAATGAGTGAAAATCTGAATAATAATGAAAGTTGAAAATTAAAAAATAACAAAAGTTTAGTTTAAACATTTACACATTATTTTTATTCTGATTTAACTTAAACTTACACCAGGTGTCATTTATTATATTAAAATTTAAGAATAAATGAAACTAAAAATTGTACCATGGTGCAATATTTAAAAATGTTTCTTACTCTGACTGGAGGCCACAACATGTTTAAACTATTAAGTGAAGAGTTACACGTCACATACAGTTAAACAGGTCATTATAGTTTTATGTTACTGTATAAATTAAAAATGTCAGTAGAAAACAAAATAAATACTCTAAAGTATTTTCCTGAATATTTTTATTTAACAAAAATAATATTTACAAATATTTCTACAAACTTAAGCAACAACTAATGGTAATAAGCATTTTAACAATATTGTGAATTTTAAATACTTAAAACTACTATAAGTCTCAGATACTTTGTACATAATTATACAAATCTATACATAAACTACAATGTACATACAAAAATATCCCTGCTGTACAACTTCAACTGTACATTACATTTGCATAGAATTAAATTAAATAAATACTGGAAAAAAATTTCTACAGTACAGGAAATAAAACTGAGTAAGAAAAACAGTGGTTTTTAATCTAATTTTAAACTATGCAGTAGGTGTTGATCATCTGCCGTGACATCTCGATGTTCCCGCTGGCCTGATAGATGAGTGACAGGTTGAAGGCGATCTCCCGTGTCAGATCCACCTGGTCATCAGGGATACCCTGGAGGTGGCATAGGCAAGAAAAACGTTATGAAGAAATATCAGTGTCCATTCAGCAGCATCCAAAGGAGAGAGAAGGAAGAAAAAAGGTTTAAATTCAAAAGGTACAGGTAAGTACAACTCTCTGTGGTGGAACAACATGTACCATAAAGTTCTGCATGTACAACTCCACTATTTTATTGATCTACCATATAAAACAGAGAACCGGACAAGTCGTTTTCCAGAGTGCATCACTTTCAAAAGGGTGCACTGCCTGCTGCATTTTTAGACACCAGAGTAACACAAAGTAAAGTTAAATGTTACTTCTTGTTCTTCTTGAGTTCTTCTTGTCTGTTCATTATATTGGAGATACATTATATATACTTAGAATACCTCCAGTTTCTTAGCGGGAAGCCCCAGGGCCTTGTGGTAGTAATGAATGGCCAAATGTGTGAGGCCCATCTGATGGAGCGCTCTGCCCAGGTTATAAAAGCTCTCCTGACACTCTCCACGCAGCTCCAGGTATCGCCACAGAAAGGAAAAACCCTGAAAACACACATCTTGTTACAAGTTTGACAGAGTGAGGTATGACTTTAATGACAAACTGAAGAAACACTACCTGAATCACGAGGACGTGTCGCTTGGTTACGTACTTCTGAGAAGCCATGTGGAAGAAGGTGAGACCCACAAACAGGCTGTACAGTGGGTCGTCTGAGTGACTCTGGAAGGCCTGAATGTATTGGACTGAGAAAACATCACTTCATATTAACAAATGAAGCTCCTTATTATATCCAAACCTTGTAGTTTAACAGAACACCCTAAATGTAACTAGCACTTGAGATACTTGCTACCAGTCTCCTTCCTGACCAGTCCTTTCTCACCACAGATGATTATTTTAGACCATGTCTTAAGCTGCGTTCACACCAAGTGTACGAGAGTGTGTGTGTTTGTACCCAAAGCATGTTTGAAGCTTCCTGAGACCATAGCGTTGTGCCCACATAGGACACACAGGGCATGGTTGTTTGGGTGTTTGATCAGCATACGTAGACAGAATCGATGATGACGTTGGTGCTGAGACCTCATTGTCAGCTGGAGAAGGCAGGACAAAAGAATCTCAGATTCAAGAACATAAGACAGAGAGTGCTATATTTTTTTGGGGTGAGAGAAAGTGACCCACCTGGTTGAAAATGTTCCACAACTGAGGCACATCCACATTTTCAATCAGCATTAACCTGCAGAGAACAGTTTTATTTACATTTCAAACAACTTTAAAAGCATGAATGAATACATTTTTACAACATTGTTACTTCCTTTTAAAGAAATGACAACTATAGTGCCTAAATTAGACACCTTCTCAACCATTCAATAATGGGTCTCATCATGTGGTGTGGTGAGGCTAAGCCAACTCAGCTTGACCTCCTCACAGACAACAGAGTGCAGCACCATGTTTCCACCATGAGGGCCACTGTTTCACACATCAAAAGACCCTCTTTGGAGAGAAAAGAAGACGTGTGTTTTTATTAAATGATGGTTATATTCTGAAAAAAGTGAGGAAGCCTGGCTTCACTTGGCTGCTGCAAGAAAACGCCACATAAAAGTAATAAGAATAAACAGTATTTCGCCATCTCCAATCTGTGTTAGTCCGAAATTGAAATCAAATTAAAAATCAGTGCATATTTTCACACTCATGGCACAAGTAACATTTAATCAAAAATTAAACTTGCAATAGCTTAGAGTCCCCAGCAGGGGTGTTTCTTGCCCTGGACACCTGGCAGCATTGACCCACCTGATGTAGTTGTAGGCTTTGTAGTAGTTGCGGTCCAGGATGGTGGCAGACAGGCCGAAAAACTCCAGCTCCTTTCTCTTGGGCTTGTTGTCATAAAAGGAATAGAACTCCATGGCAGATTCCACCAGCAGGTTAGTCTCCTTGTAGCGCTGCACCTCACTCAGGGTCAGCATACAGCTGACCAGCAGCTGCCACCAATCCTCTTTGGACAGAACATTGGTTTTGCCTAAGCCAAGAGATGGAAGGACGAGAAGAAGGTGAGAATAATTTTAAGTTATTTATTAGGTTCCTACATCATATTTTTCTATTTTAACTTGTTGAAGTGTAAGAAATGTTTTCTATTTTATACTGTGTTGCTACTACATACTTTTGGGATTTTTCAGCAGTCTAAATTCAAATAAACACATGTTTCTTTTGGTTTGCCATTTAGTGATTTATACAATCTGCAGTTTTACTACAAAAAGCGAGTTGACATCATCCACTTTACAGAACACAATACAGAACTGCTGAAAATACCACACCCACCAGTATTGTCCAGATATGCGGCGACATGGTCATCAATTTCCGGCACAGTGTCACTGGCTTGTACCAACCTCAGGTGAGTTTCACCTGAGATGATGACAGAACGAACACACACTTTTGCCCGCTGCATAGCCACCTATCAATCAACCAAAGTCAATGGTTAGATGGTTAGTCAGATTACAGTTAAAACAAGAAACATTTAGTCAGATGGTGTCCGGCTGATTGAGGCTTAAAATAAGGTTCCCGTTCTTTATTTTCAATTTGAGGGCCAGATAGCGTCTTTTCTAAAGTAGCAGGATCCTTATTTCATTGAGTGAGTGTGTGTGTTACCTTCAGCAGCATGGAGAGCATTGTTATCATAGCATCCAGGTAGTCCTGTGTTTGGCCCTGAGTCTTCAGCAGCGTTGACCGATGAAGAAGGAGCTTCAGTTCCTACAAACACAGCATCAGTATAGATTGAGTGACACATTCAAACACACACACACACAGATAGGCCTGGTACCATAATCAATAAGTCCAATAATCACAGGATAAATGAAAATGAGCTAAACATTTTTGCCAGCCTTGATAACTTTGCAAGTGCATGTGTGTTTGTTTTCTCCTCTCCAAACACGACAGGAGGGATCACTCTGTGCATCGGCCTCAGCACCTGGGCCATCCATATGAGTAACAGACGCATGGAGTGAACCCTCTTGTCAGTCAACCACTCTGTGTGGGGGGAGGCAGGGCAGCTACACTGACCTAGTTTTCCCAGTGGGGGGAAAAAAAACTGCACCTCCAGATGAAGAGCTTTTGTCCCAACAAACAACACTCACTGTGGCGTTTGTCAACAAAGCAAATACAAACGGAATGGAATAAAATGTGCCATTCTCAGAAAGTGTGGTGTGCTACATTGTAAAAGATATATATATATATATATATATATATATACACACATATATATATATAGTTGAGAAATATAGGTTTGTTGCATTTGTGTACTTTGTTATTATTATTATATCAGTTTTACATTAGTGGTTAATTTGACGATAATATTTATCTGCAATAATTTGTGGGATAATATATCGTCCAGCAGAATGTGTTATGGTCACAGGCCTACAGACAGACACAACCAGAGAAGAGTGCTCAGTGCCTTCTGTGCAGCCGACGAGTCCTGTGAGAGCGTTTCACTGTCATACATGGACTCCAGGGCCTTGAGAGCTCGATCAGGTCGACCCAGCTGCTGCTGTATGGTGGCCAACGTGAGCCGGGCCTCTAGGTGCTGCGGGGCCATCTTCACCACGTTGATATAACTTTCTGCTGCCGCCTCTACGTGGCCCAGTGCCTTCAGACATTCTGTAAGGACGGGGAAAACGATGGCATTAATGACAACTTGAAAGCATTCTTCATGTACAAAGGAAGGAGTGGCAGTACCACAGTGTTGGCCTCACCTGCGTGTCGGAGCCAAACCACTGCCAGATTGTACTTTTCTGATATGACCAGCGCAGACATCAGAGGCAGAGCAGACATGTACTCGCCCTCTTCCAGGAAGGCCTCACCTACGTCCAGGTACAGGTCACCAATGTCCTCTGCACTCTGCTCCATCAGTGATGACACCAGGTTCTATAACAGAGTTGACACAAAGTGCTTCAAGGTCAAAGCAGCTGTTGTTGTCATTTAAGGAAGCTACATTACTTTATTAATATGTATATGTAGTACCTCCACAGGTGTGTAGGAGTGGAGATGTATGAGACAAACTATCAGTTTGGCCTTTAGGTCCACTGGTACAGAGTCTGGAACTTGGATACTTTTAACTTCACCTGGACAGACAGACAAACACAGCAGGAAACGTTTTATATTCATAGATATTTATTCCACTCCAATACTGACTTCAACTCTGAGGCATTTACTTTTAACAGTTTCTGTGTTTTGAACAAAGTAATAATAAACTTTTGGCTCAATCTGAATCTGCAACTTAGCCTTTGACAAACTCACTGTTCTCCTCTTCAGTCGTAGAGCCTCCCGCGTTCTCCTGCTGCTCCTGTGTCATATCCTCTTTAACAGAAACCTCCTGTGACTGTGCATCCCTGACCACAGTAACACCTGCAAACTGGATCAAGACCTAGAAAACAAAAGAACACTTGTACAACTCATGGAACAATAACAACATTTTCGTTACAGCAATATCAGGACATGAACTGCAGCAGAGCTGGTTACACAATGATAATTGTTTTGTTAATTTAATTTTTTTTACATCATTGAGGCTATTTTTCTGCTCACTATAAGTCATTCTTATATCTGTCAATATATTAAATACGGTTTTAGGATCTGGAGGCTATTTGAATTTGAATTTTGTCTACTTAGACTGAATTTAGGTAAATAAGTCTTCAGGCTGATGTTAGATGAAGACGTCCTGTTGGATGAGACTTTTGGCCTTGAACTATCAGGTTCTAAAGGTGATTGACATTTTAAAAATGCTTTATACCTTCATAGCTTTGCTGTACTGATGACTAGAGATGTAAAGTTCAGCCGCCATGTTGATAAAATCATCGCTGACCAGCGTGGGGTGTCGTGCCAGAGCTTCCTCGATCACACTCAGAGCTGAGGCCATGTCATTACTTTCATAATAGCTCCTAAATGGGAAACACACAAATAAAAAAACTCATATATAACGTAACAAAAGGCCTCAGAATAAACATCTAAGAATATGAATGGGGGTTTAGGGAACTGTAGTTCAGTATGAGACATGTACAAGGCCACGAGACAGAGGTTAGTGTGCTGTCCGAGTGACAGATGGGTTCAAAGCAAGGGTGAGGGTAGCATCAGGCATCAGCTCTGAGCCCCTTTTTGTTTGCTATGTTGATGGACAGGTTGACAGATGAGGTCAGACAGGAGGCTCCATGGACCATGATGTCTGCATGGCTGTAATTTGTGGTGAAAGAGGAATGTAGAGTAGATGTAGGAAAAACCTGTAGAGGTGGAGTTTGGCCTTGGCGCAAAGCAGAATGAAAGTCACTAGGTTTGTCTTTTTTGTCGCTTGGCTAAATAAGCTGATGAAAATCACACTTACTTGGCCATGTCCTTGGACAGTTGCATGAAGTGTTCTCCATCCTCCTGTGGCAGCAGGGACAGGATCCTGCGGTAGCCGTCCATGCACTGCTTGTGGTCTCCAACTCGCATTTGGAGGCTGGAGCGTTCCCACAGGTAGCGCACGTTAGTTGGGTCATACTTAATGGCTGCAAGGAAGAAAAAAAAAAAAACAATAAAAAGCTTTTCCCATGTCATCATTTGCTTTCAACTGCTTTCCACTTTAGGTTGGAGAGAAAATAATGTACAAATATGTCATGAGAACCTTTGGAGTAGCAGACAATGGCCTGGCGGATGTTGTCCTGCTCCAGCGACAGCTCTGCCAGTCTGATCCACTCATCACAGTCAGAGGGATTGAGGTGAGCAGCGATCAAGCTGAACTGCAGAGCTTTGTCCATGTGGCCGTCATCCTCATAGATCATGGCCAACGTGGAGAAAGGCTCGTAGGCCAGTGGAGCTGCAGAAAGAGTTTTTCTTTTTTAGTTAATCCTTCAATATCATGTCTTGCTTCATTAGATCATCTTGGCAACATACCCTGTCTAATGATCTCCATACACATCACAATGGCGTCGTCTTTGTCTCCTCTGGCGTAGCGGATGTTGGCTTCTCCCATCAGGCCTCGGAGCGCTCGAGGCAGCTTACTGCGATGGCGCCGCTCCTTCATGATCTTCTTGCTTTTCCTGTTGAGCTCCATCTCCAGTGCGAAGATGTCACCAACTGTTGGGTCTTCTACCTCCTTCTCTGTCTGCTTCCCCGTACCTGCTTTTTTTTTACTCTTTTTCTCCGTCGGGCCCTTCTTCACCATTTCCTCCTCCTCCTCCTCCATCTTGTAATCCTCATCATCTTTATCATCAACGTAACTCAAGCTGTCCTCTTCTTCATCGTCATCTTCATCGTCATCATCTTCGTCCTCCTCTTCCTCTCCAGAAGAGACGGTTTGTGAGGTTTCTCCCAGCATGGAGTCAAACACCAGTTGGACACTTGGACTTACGCCCTCTTCTGTAATCACACAAACGCAAAATAAATAAAAATCACTCGGTCAATAAAGTGAACTTGATGAATATATTCAGATATTAATAAGTTGTTCCAACTACCCTTGCCTTCACATCAGTGGCAGCAAACTGGACAAAGTCAGATTACTTTTTATATAGTCATGTGATGAATTAACCAACGACACCAAACAGTCGCTGTAAGTCTTTATTTTCCTCTGTGGTTAATAACAAGATCACCAAATAAAAAAACAACACTTTGAAGACTTAAAACTGGAACAGCCTAACTCTGCTACTGAGAGGATATCTATTTAAATTCAATTACATTCATATGTAAATGTACCTTGTGTCCTTGCTGAGACGTGTGCTGAGGTAGAAGGCTGAGCATCATCATCATAATCTTTCACATCTACAGCAGAGAGCGCAGACTCCTGAAAAGAAAAGAAAAAAAACACACACGCAACATTTTAATTCATTTGAATTCAGGATGAAATCTTTAATTTTTCTTTCTTTCAGACAAATTTAGCTTTTTTATGGTTTGACTTTTAACCTTTGTTTTGCCTGGTTTTAAAGTATTTATTTAAGTATTTTGTATTTATTTAGTATTTTACATTTAATAGAGTTCTTCTGCTAAAGTATTTGAAGCCTTTAGCTATTGCAGCAGTTACCTAGTTATTTTTAGTAGTTTTAGGTAGGTTTGCTTAAGTTTCCTTATTTCTAGGACCACTTTTTACTTTTTAATTAAGGGGTAATTGTTTCGCAATATGCAGACCGTTGTTATCATTTAACCAGCTATTCCTGGCTTCAAGTTTGGACACAACTTTCTACGTTTAGTATCCAAACAGTTAAATTAAAAATATACGTGACACGACTTACATTAATCTGTTTTAAACTCGGTGACTGGCATAAAATAACTGTTTAACAGACGTTTTTCATTTGCTTCTGTATCGAACAAGAGACATAAAAACAACAACCCCCCCCCCCTCCCCCCCAAAAAAAAACAAAAACGGGAATACCTTTACACCGTCAAATGCTCATTATGGGTAAACCTTTATTATTTGGTAGATAATTAAAGCTAACGATTACCACATTAGCTCCAGTTGGTAATAGCACAAACACAAAGACTTCTAAGAAAAACATTTAACGACTTTTACCTTTGCTTTTCTCTCATCCCGTCTTCTGTCAAACTCTTCAAATGTAATGCGACCCTCCAAGTAGTCGATGAGCTCCGCGCTGAACCCCGACATGGTCCTCTGAAGCTCCACAGACCGTTACAGCGACAACACATGGGGTGAGATGTAAAGCAATCAAAACAAGCAACTTCCGCCTTTACGTCAACAGCGTACACTTCCGAGTTGGAATAGCCAATAACGTTTTGTTACCGACATCTAGTGGTGAACTAGTAGAACAACACAACAGGGGGTTGGCCCGTGTTACTGCATGTTTTGCAATAGAGAAAAAACAAAGAGGGCATGAATTGTTTACTTCAGTCCCCCCTAATATATATAACATATATATAACATATATATTATTAGTTTTCTTTATTTTTTTATAAAGAATGCATTCTTAATTCTTCTTAGAATCCAAAATAAACAGCAATGTGGCAGGGAATACAAAAATTAAATGTATTATATGTACAATTATGGTGTAGATTATTGTCAACCTTTGGAAAGGTAACATATATGCTGCATTTGTTAACAAAATCACATGGATACAGTATTGTTAAAATTATTAAATAAAGAAATATTAAGAAATGACCAAAGCAGCTGCTGACATATGTAATGTCTGTTCATTACATAGAGTAAACTGTCTATTTTAACATTGGAGTTGTAGTGGTTTTCAGCCAAAGTTACTGTACCTGCAACAGTAATTAACCATGAGAACACAAAAACAGAAAGCTGAGTCATATCAACATAACTGCGTGCTTTATTGATATACAGTAAAGCATTTTATAATACAGTAGTAAGGCATATATTTGGTGGAGTCTGATATGTTGTGAAGTACTGATGTGTTTTTCCAAAAGATGATGCCACGTTGAACCAAATGTTAGAACTGAAAACACACACACAAAAAAAGATTGAACAAACAAATATGAATTCAGTGTCTAGACCAACAACCAAAACCTCCCGTTTCCTGCTGTATGAATGTGATATCACCTCTGTTAAAGAAGATTGAACTTCTCTGAGCCACACACGCTGTCACAACACCTCACACAGCACAAAAAGCTAATGTTTCATCAACAGAACATAGCACTTTAAAACAAGTAGGATAAATGCATTCTCCACACAGAAAACATATCTAGTAAATTCCAAAATGGCCAGTAGTGCACGTTTTATTTATACATTTGATTAGTGTTAAATGTTACTTGTTTTGAATTACCATGGTTCAGACTGGAGAGTCCTGCACTGCTGAAAAAACATTACAGTCCATCAAACATGTTGATCACAAGATCCTGGAAAACTAAAGAAATCTTTGAAGGACTTTTTAAAAAAGTTTTTTTAAGCATCAAATTTGAATGAAACTGTTATTCAAACACAGCTTGATTACAGCTGCTGTTAAGAAAACTTTAATGGAACCCATCAGTACTAATTAAACAATGAAGTACTTGAGATTTCACATTATTTTACTGTGCCATTTTAACTGTAGGACAATCAATCAGTTATTGATAATGTTAGAAGATTCCCAGGCTGACCAGTGGTTCTCAGAAGCACGAATATAGATCTTCTAAAAGAAAAAAAAGCAGTAACAATTCCTCTGTGACGATATAATAAAGAACCACTTTAGGTTCTGACCAAACGTCTCTGTTTTACAGTGTACAGTGAGCAGGACGTCTGACACGACAGTCAGACACTGATCGGTTCCAGGAGACCGCAGGGTCAAGTACAGTAGTGAAGCGGCCACCTACATCAGAATAGGAAAATGAACACGAGGTAGAGCTTCTGTCACGTTCTTACAAGTGTTTGATTTCAAATTCTAATGCAAAACAATATCAGACTCGACTAACTGATTGAAGAAGCTGTCCACTCATACAGATGACAAAGTGTACTGTATGCACGATCAGTGACTCAAGACTTTCTTCTTCTTCTGTGTTGTACCTGAAACTGTCTAGAAGCCTTTTCTACGATGTAGATGCAGTTTTTAAAAAGTCAAAGAAGTTAAGATTTATTCCTAAAATCAGTTTGGACAACAATGACAATGAGTCCCAAATGAATTGATTTTGAACCTTTATAACTTAAGCCATCCAACAGCGGAGAACAGTAGACTCTTGACCAATTCCTGGATAAAATTTGGCATAGGTAAGTTAGGTGACAAGCTATTTTGAATAATTAATAAAAAGAACATGATTTTAGAAATCTTTTAGGAAAGTTTTAATTTGAAGACAATTTAACTTAATTCTCCTCATTTAAGTGTTTTTTTAGTTTGCCAACTTATAGACTTATAGCCAGTTTCAGTTACTCTGATTGTGTCAGGTTTAAGGAGGGAACTCTTCACCCTGTTTTGGCTATTCTTTGCCATTGTGACTAATTTTATTTTAAGCCATTTTTACACTCACTTTAGAGCAGGGAATAATAAAAAAAATAATTTCCCTAAAGGACAAAATCCAAAGTGAGATGGAGTTGTTGAACAGGCAGTAGTGACCTCAACATGTGCTCATGCACACAGTACACTGAGCTGAAATGACTGAGCTGAAATGAGACGGAAAACTCTTGAGAAGCTCAGACTGAGAAAAAGGGAGGAGGACAGATAAATGAAAACTTCAACATGAGGTGTAGAAGCTAAAGAAAAACAAACTGGGATTCAGGGCTGAGATCAAGACACACACACACACACACACACACAATCGTACATAAACACACCCACACACACAGTCTCATTTACTGAAGTCTGTAATACCATGACCTTCGTGTACACTGTTATTGAAGCACCCTTATGATTACAATCATACAAACGTCTGTGTTTCACCCAATTTTAAAAAGAGAGCCCTCCCCCCACCCCTCCCTCCCTCCAACTCTGTTTATTTTATACAGTTGCATAGAAGTTTAAAAACCTGCCTCTGTCAATATAATAAAACGACCTCAGGACATTTTTTAAGAAACTACTGAACTCTACAAGTTATATATATATATTTTTTCCTTTTAAGTCATTGTTGGAACCGCAATGCTTCACAAAAATAGACATTAAGTATTTTCTCTGTAAACTATGTTTTATCAATCCAGTTGTTTTGACTAGAAAAAAGCATGCTGTAGGGTAAAGAAGAAAGGTGGGAGGGAGGGAGGGGACCATGTCAGATGGTCGAAAGGTCAGAAGGGCAGGGCCTCGTGCTGTTCGGCGCTCTGCTCATCTGTCATCACGCTAACCAGTGACTCCATGGCACGGCCCAGATCATCAGCCATGTGGAAGAGACTGCCGATACTAGGACCTGCACAGAGACAGAGACACAATGAACTCAGTAAAAGTTGATGATTTTCTTGCCTTGATAATACAAATATATCTAAGAGCTGGTCACACAAACAAACAAACAAACAAACAAAAGGTGTCTCAAAATCTGCCATTTCATGAATACTAAAAGTCGACGATGCAGCTGGTGATTTACGTGTAGGGCAGAAGATGCCAGCTGGATGACGCACGCTAAGCTACCTAGAAAATCTACCACAGAAAAAGAACAACTCCAAAACCTTCCCCAAAAAGTAGCAAAAAATGACAAGCCATGTTCTATGAACATGTGCTCAGACATTCATAGGGTTCCTCAACAGAGCTGTAACATTAAGGTCAGGAACCCACATGTGGGTCAACAGGAATGTCTAGTTCATCAACTAAATATTAATAATATATATATATTTAATTATGATTAAAACACGACACACTTGGTGCACTAATCTGGATTGGCATAGAAACATGGTCATCATTTCATTAGACCAAAACAATCAATGAATAAACAATGAATTAATCATAATATTAGTATTATGTTGTATAATAATAGCAAGAGTGTTTTTTATTACATTTGCTAATATGTGTAGCTTCTCAAACCCTACTTTTTAGGACAAAAACTGTGTTGGTGTATAACTCTAAACACCAAGAACCGACCTTAAGGCCAGAATCAACTGTGGTGCAACAGGAGGGTGGAGAGAAAAAGGCAGAAAAGGGAGGTGAGACACTCACCTGTTAGGGGTGTCCCCTTCTCAGTCCTGGACCAGGGAGAAAAGGAGAGGACAGGGCAGAGGAGAGGAAGGAAAAACAGGAAGGAAAGAAGAAGGGTTGAAATGAAAGAACCACCAACGTCTGAGACACAGATTGATCAAAGTTCCCGTGTTGTCATGTTCTGTTTGTTCTCTTTCCTACCCTGGCTGTGTGGGAAGGAGTTGTTGAGCTGTTCCATCACTTCTTCCAGCCCTGAGGGATCTTGGGAAGGGCTGGAGAGTTCATCGTCACCTGAAAGAGGAAGGAGCCAGGATTGAACCTTTTTCCATGCTACTTTCTGTGCTTGAGTGTGTGTGTGTGTGTGTGTGTGTGTGTGTCAGTGTTACCCATTGTGTCAGTGGTCTGGCTGGCAGCCACACGGAGAAGAGGGAAGGAGGAGTCTGAACGCTGAGATGAAGTGGACGGAGAGGACAGAGCGGTGCCGTTCACCTTGGAGTCCGTCTGACACACACACATAAACACACACACCGTTCAATAACAAAGAGACCAGCAGCCATTACAGGCCACCAAGAAGACACATCCAGCTGCTCACTGTCCTGTATTTCCTGTATATATATATATATGTATATAGCCCTGCATTAAAGTTATTCTGGAAAATTCTGTAAATCTTTATTCCACCTTTTGGCATCATGTGTCAAGTTTGTTTACAGTAAATAAACATGTTACTCTTTCTAACATGAGTACTAGTACTGTGTTCATACCCTACACTGAGGCCCTAGCCCACTGGTTCCAAAACTTTTTTGGCTTGTGACCCCATTTTGAAGAAAAATAATAACAGTAGAATTATAATTTTTTTATTATTTTAGTTTTTTTTTTATCAAGTGCTAGACATACAGGGCGCCCCATCTGGGGTCACTATCCCAAGGTTGAAAACCACTACCCTAACTTTTCGCTTTTGTGAAAATGGCAATTCAGTACGCTGACTACCCATGTTTCCCCTATAGTTACTCTTGGCTCTTTTTACTTTTTAATATGTAGCTATGTAGCCATTATTCAGTAATTCAGTTATATCTTGTTACTTCGTGTCTAAATCTCTTAGTTAACCTTCCTCCAAGTTTTTGTTGCTATCTCTGTCCTAGCCGTATGTAATGGTTTGGCTATTTTCTAGTTTTCTGTAAAAGGTAAGGTTATTTTTGCTGT